TACAGTGTATGACCGATCAATCTTCGAGCTTCCTCACCTATGGTCATGAGCTTTGGGTAATGGCCGACAGAACGAGGTCGCTGATACAAGCGGTCGAAATGAGCGTCCTCCATAGGGTGGCTGGGCGCTCCCTTTTGCTGTGCTCACACCAAGCGTGGCCAAAGCGTCCAAATTAAGCGTCAGGTGTGCATTGAAAATACATGAGGGAAGGGTCGAGAGATTCCGCGGCGCGTCATGCGCCTCCCAAGCAGCGTGTTTTCAAGCGCAAAATGTCAAGCATTTGTTACGTCTCCAACGCGGTCGTCGCTAGAGTTAAACGTGTTGAGCTTTTTTGCCAAATTTGCAAGCGTTGACCAATCAGGAGCTTTCTCTAACAGTGACGTAGTGACGCATTTCACAACCAGGAAGACAACAGATCATCAACTATGGAGGACACATGGATCTATTATCCAAAATGAGCTGTTAATGAAAGGGGGAAATCTACGTACCCCAGCTTTAATTTAGCGTTTCAGTTTAGTTTAGTTTCAGGAGGAGACACAGACACTTCTGCGGTGTATTTGCGTGCACAGGTATACGCACAGGTTGCAAAGACACAAACACAATATGCAGAGAAGTTCTGTGGCGTGTTTGGTCTTATATGACCATGTTACCGCGGCGCCACTCACTCACAGCCGCACACAGCCATGTTGTTGTTAGCGGCTCACAGCCAGAGCGGCCACGGAGGAGGCGGACTTCAGTTCACAGCAAACAACCCCGCGGTCACACGCATATTCTTTTAAAACATGAGTTCCCAGAGGGCCTACCTGCTCTGATGCATCTCACACACAGCATTCTGAGTGATATTATGGATAAATGGGCGGGTCAGTCGGACATGCGTTAATGCGTAAATTTTTTTTTTACGCGTTAATGAAAAATGTAATTAACGTGAGTTAACGCGATAATTTTGACAGCCCTAGTTTATTCAGTGGAAATATGCTAAAGGCGTCTGAGTCTGAGGGACACATTTGCAAAGGAGAGCAGGAAGGAGCAGGAGAAGTTGAAGTTGCTTCACTCCTCTTCCTTGTCTAGACAGCATCTGTTGTCATTAAGCACAAGCGTCCAACAAGCCGCTTTGACGCCCGAGAAGCGTGTGGTCTGTTCACGGCATAAGAGATAGGGTGAGATGATCAGTCACACGGGAGGAGCTCGGAGTAGAGCCGCTGCTTCTCCATGTTGAGAGGAACCAGTTGAGGTGGCTCGGGGATCTGTTCCGGATGACCTGGAGGAAGGGTGGGTTGGGGCGTTGGACAGCTGCTCCCGCAAACCAGCGATGGATGAAGCGGAAGAAAGTGGATGGATGGATTGAGTGTTTGACCCTGAACACAACAATATGCAACACACAACTGTGAGTGCAACAATGTCACCTACAGGCAGTTCAAGGTGTGTGTCTTTTTTAATTTGATCTAGGCACAGGTTTTTCATCACAGAGACTTCTACCATGTCATTTTCTCATCGGGACAGATTGGAAATATACAAATTAGAAAGAAAGAATTGGAAATTCTTCACCGTTTTCATGCGAGGCGGTAGGGAATTCTCCATGTTTGATGTTTTCTCAGCCACAGGCTCAGAAATACAGAGCTGAAACTCACATCACGAACAGTTGGCAATGGACTGTACAAAAAGATGTGAAAATACACAGCTAAAATGACTCTAGAGCGCCACCTATGGGGTGCTTCCGACCTAAACTTTTCTGATCCTCACCAAAGTCGCAGAGTCAAATCTTCACATCCGTACGAGCAAAATACTACATTACACAGAGGGTGCATGTCCCACAGGTGACCACTAGGGGCGCCCTGAATCCTATTAATGAGCTTTCCGTGCGCAATCCTGGTCCTATCATCACTTATGGGACTGGTGCCCCAGAGGCAGCTGCGGGAGTGGCGAGGGCTTTCAGCGCCGCTTGCGGCTTTAATTGATATTTACAATCTCTTTCTCAATGCTCTCTGTGATCAAACTAGTGCCTTTATTTGCAAGATAAAGTATATACATGTAAAGTATTCTTGTGGGTTCCCGGATTCCCCAGATCCAACAACAAGAATGAATGAATGTATTGCACAAGGTAGGCAAAGTTCTTTGATCCAATATAGGCTTACTTGTTTTAAAATGTGTTAAAATTCCAATACTTTTCCTTTTTGTGCATAAAGCAGAAGTGGATCTAAAAAGTCAGGAGTAAAATACAAATTCAGTTACAAATGTAGTAAAACAGTTACAAAAGGCCTTAATACATACATTGATTATAATGGTCATAATTTTGAAAATTTACATCCAGAGGCTTGAACGTGGTTAAAAAATACAGGAAATCACATTGTATTATTTTTGAAGACTTCTATACTATCTTTATGGTGTTGCAGAAAAAGTTCAACTCATGCTGTAACTGATGGAAGAAGGTTTTTACCCCAAATCTCTTGATACACTGCTCCATTCATCCTTTCATTAATGAAGATCAGTCATCCTATCCCCATTGCAGAAAAACAGCCCCAAACTAGAATGAAAATGTGCCATTTTTACTCATGTCATATTCAAAACATTGTCGCCTCTGGCTTTCACCAGCGGGACTCAACATCATCCAAACGAGTATAGCTTCAAACGATACTCGTAGAACTGAAACCGTGCATGAGGAATTTTTTTTTAATCTTTTTTTTCAAATTTGCTCCTGTTTACACAGAAAAAAAAAACAGAAGAACAGAAATTGACAAGTTAGATTTAAAGCTGAGGGAATTACTTTTTGAATGATATTATGTCCAGGTGAGTGCAGAGGTCCTAATTACTCCTGTGGAGATCAGTTATCTCAGGACTTGTTCACAAGTGAGGGAAGGATGGAGCATGAGATTGACAGATGGATAGGTGCAATGTGTGCAGGACAAGTGAGGGTGGTGGAGAAGAGGGAGCAGCGTCTGCAGTCAGAGCTTTATCAGACGTTGAAGAGGTCAATCCTCATTCCCGCCCTCACCCCTGGTCATGAGCCTTGGTTGAAATGAGATTCCTCTAAAGCAGTGTCTCCCAAAGTGGAGGGTACTGCAGGGGGGCCGCGGGAGGTCATAAAATATATAAAAAAAATAATATAATTATTTAATGTTAAATTTATAATGTTTTGTTTGTAATATTAAAATATTTGTGTTCATTATTTGACTTGAATAATCCACTGTAATCATTTTTGTATTACAATGTTTGTAGCAGAGGCTATTTCCCCAAAATAAAATAACCAGAAGAGCCTATTCTTAATGTTGTCTTTTTGGTTATTATTTTGGGGGGCCACGCAGACCCGTCAGATTTTTAAGGGGGCCTCGATGTTACTGAGTTTGGGAATGGCTGCTCTAAAGAGTGGCTGCATGCTCCTTAGAGATGGAGTGAGGAGCTCAGTTACACGAGAGGGGACTATCATGTCTCTCAGCCGGCCTGGGAACACTTCAGATTCCCCTGGATGAGCTGGAGGAAGAGTGTGTTGATAGGGAAGTATGGGCGTCTCTACTTAGACTGCTCCTTAGATTCTCCAATAGAATCAAACCAAATGCAATGAAACTACGGGCATATAGTTGATCTTTGTCTTTTGTATCTTCATTCTTTTCACCGTTTACCCTTTTGACTGTGTCTGCATTGAGGATCTGTTCATTGGTTTCTTTTTCCCTGCAACTTCATTAAGCATATGCACACTTCATATTTCTTCAAAGCCTTGTCTTTCTGCCGTACTGTACCACAAATGATAATCATCTCAAGTCTACTTCCTGTCACATTTACAGAACTAACATCTCCCAATTTATCTTTCACAAACCGACCACGCTGCTATCAATCATCAAATTCTGACAGCCAACATCCCAACAAGGAGGAAATGCTACACTCACTCTCTATGAATTCTTATTTCCTTTTATAATTTTGTTATTATGTTGTAATGTCTTCTTCACTTTCAGAGGACTCAGGTTTCAGCATTCACAAAATGCTTCCTGTTTTTTTTTTCTCAATTCCCAATTTTTAATCCAAATATTGCTTTTCTAGCTCACCCAAAGACATTATTTTGATACTGGGAAATGTCCAAATAATAGAAGGAAAAAATTGTTTATTTCAGCTTTTATTCATGACATTAACACATGAGACAGGTTTACATACACAATATTTGGTAGAAATCCTGTTAAACTTTTTACCTTGGGCCAGAAGTTTTGGGTAACCGTCCATGAGATTCTTACCCACTCCTTATTGAGAAAATACTATGCGAGCTACTGTGACAACGCAATTTCCCTAAAAATCGGGGTGAAAAAGTGGATCAATCAAGTCTGTCTAAGTCTTCTGACAGAACTGAGTCCGGTTTGTGGGTCTCCTTGGCCGTACCTGCTTCTTCAGCTCTGCCCACAACTGTCCAATGGGAGGAAGCTCAGGCTGTGATGGCCACTCCTACATCTAAACCTTGTCGTTGAGCCATTGTTTGTGCAACTTTGGAAGTGTGCTTGGGCTCATTGTCCATTTGGATTGATGGATACTTCACTGATCCCTCATCGGAGAAATTCAGGTAACACCCATCTGCGACCAAGATTGATGTCTTGAGATGTTTCCACGTCCTTCTTTTTCTTGATTTTCGAGTAAACCAGTCATCCGGCAGAAAAACACCTCCACAACATGATGCTGCCCCCCTTGCTTTAAGGATGAGATGGTTTTCCAGCAGGGTTAGCAGCAGGGAAAATATTTTGTGGTCCAAAGCAGTCGAGCAAGAGATTTCTTTCCTGATGTGCTACAAAAAAGTATCTCCGTCATTTAATCGCTGCTGGGCTGCTAATAGAATAGACTAGAAGTGTGCTTGAGCTAAAGGAAATTAAAATAACGAGTTCCCGTGGTTTGAAAGCTCAGCCAGGAGATATCTAATTAAATCTATTTTGTCTTGACCTATCTGGCAGGGGGCTCGCTGTCCTCAGGGTCCTGTGTAAGCAGAGGCGACTGCTCCAACAGACTGGTGCTGATCGTGTGGCTCTGTCCTGCTATCGGGCCACCTACACACACAAGAAGCACAGATCAGTAATGCACAAAGCTCCAGTCAAGCAACTTATTTCTACATGTCTGTATGGCACTGACATAAAACACATGATGGTGATCCATACAACCATAAAACCATCGGAAAGGATAAAAACTAAATCTGGATAAAAAGCAAAATAACTCTCTTAGAATCCCTTAGAAATGCATTTCTTGGGTGGAAGTGGTTGGTGGTATGACGGACTTGGACTCGCTGGAGAAAATTGAAGAGAATTTGGTTTGCTCAGTGATTACACTAAGACTGACTGCTAGACAAGTGGGTGACTGTACAGTAACATGATGCTCTTTTCATTTTTAATTGTACTTTTAATTAAACTCTCTTTGAACCGCTTAGAAATGCATGTCTTGGGTGCCTGTTACTTTGAACTTTTGATTTTACGAGATTAGTGTCCTGTAACTGTGGGAATTTTGGACATCTCTTGTGAGAAAACCCCAAACATTCCGCAAATGTACCAAACTGTTTTTCATTTCATTTTATTTCGTTTTCAACCCCTTTGTCCATTTCTGGGTCGGGGGGGTGGCAATGAGAGCTGCCACCCAACGCTCATAGCACCAGTCCCTCGCTGATCTTCTGCAGGGGGTGAGTCCACAGGAAGATGGCTGCTCCGTCATTTGTGAAACAGCCTTGATCTTTCAGCGGGGGGCTTCAGGCAACGTGGGGTTAAGTGTCTTGCCCAAGGACACAACGACAGCAGTCATCAGTGGGAGCAGTTGGAGTAGGTCCCATGGTGGGAATCGAACTCACGACCTCTGGTGCACACTGGGAACTTTTACAAATGTATTCCAATGTGGTTTTACTGCAAATGGCAAATAAAATGAACCTGAATGAATGTGAATCTGAAATAGTGAGTGTTATAATTAATATCAAACCAATCATATAGTCTTGTAAAAGTGCGTCCGTCTGAGTCTATATCCTGTGGGTTCATATCATCCAGCAGATTACAGAATTAGAATCTAAGCCCATTGTGCCAAGAGCTGAGCTGAAGGATGAGATGGCCACTGTGAGCGGAGTGCGGCTGATTGTGAAGTCCCTCTGAATTAAAGAACAGCGTACTAAAAAAGGAATTATAATCTGGACTCAAGTTTGGTCCCTTATAATTGTGCCATGATAAAAAGTGACACCAGTTGTACAGAGGAGGGGTTTACAGTCGAGGTGCTTCCACTGCTTATATTATTATGTTAGTGGAATCAGGTCACTTACTGTATGAATACACTTACATATGCTTTCTTTTAGACTTAGTGATATCTGTTCTTGGAGGACGTATACATTCAGATAAAACATTCTTACACAAATGGAGACTTTCTACTTATTTTGAATGCTTCAACAGAAAACACAGATATTACACTATAAAAAAATGATATTATTTGTAAGAGATTGTTTCTACTAACACATACAATAGACAGCTATCACATGCCACCACTTTTTGAAGCTATTCTGAGAGGGAAAAATATATCAATCAAATGGCAGTTTGGACTGACAGAGAAGACACTGACATGTGCGGCAGCCCAAACTGAGCAGTACACACACATTCTCAGGGCCCTCATTGAGACTCAGAATGTCTTTATCTTGATAGTAAAGCAGCCCTCATACTTTGTAACTATTTCTTGACTCATCTTGACCCCAATAAACGTCTGCTTCTCTCAGCAGCTCCTGTTTAAAATCTCCAGGATTAAAACAGAATTGGGCAGATAAGTGTTTTTCTATAGCGCCATGAGTTCGGAACAAATTCCAAAACTTGCTACAGCTACAAGATTTCTGTCCCTTGGTCTCTTCCATACTCAAATCCATACTGAAGCTGACATTTTGCGGATGTTAATCTTAAAGACCGTATGCAGGGTTTATATCTATAAGAAATACAGTTTTAATACCATTTTATATTGCAAAAGAACAACTACTGTAAAGCAAAGGAAGGTTTCTCACCATCATCTGTACTTCTTAGCAAGTTTTCCCGACGTTTCGTCTCAACCTAGCGGACTTCTTCAGGGAAAGATGGATTCCCTGAAGAAGTCCGCTAGGTTGAGGACGAAACGTCGGGAAACTTGCTAAGAAGTACAGATGATGGGTGAGAACCTTCCTTTGCTTTGACTAATCCCTGTACGACTGAGAGCTTACACAAACTACTGTAAAGGTTTCAGAATCCCTTCTTTTTTTTTTTTCTTTATTCAATCATCCAAATCGAGAAAACACCGTAGCACTGCAACGGCCTTATGAACAAGAAAAAAAAATCCCTCGATGATAATAATATAATGTATAATCTGGATAATGTACATAAGTTTGTAATGTATTTTCTTATTTTTCCACTGTAAATTACTACCAAAGTGCTCTTGGCCAGGTTTCCCTCACAAAACAAAGTGCTTGGGTCTGGTCTCACCTTGGTGGTCTTGACTTTGTTCCCGGAGATGCAGGACCAGCCGGTGAGGTCAGGCAGAACTCGGCACTCCTCCCCTTCCAGACACGGCTCCATTCTACACCACCACTTCTGACGGACAATGGACGCTGCGGTGGACAACACGCGACATCACAAGGTCACTCTGGACACAAGAGCCTCTCCAAACAGCTGAAGCCCCTCATCTCTATCTCATGTAACACTACTGCTCCTGCTGCAAGGACTGGTTTGGTCCAGTTATAATGTACTGCTAGCTGTCAAATGCACTGTAGTGGCACTCAGTCAACACTGCTGCATATTAGACGAATAAACTGTACTTTTACTTGAGTACAAACTTACCCATCACCACCATTACGATACTATTTTCTTCCCCTTAATCCATGTTTAGGTCGGGGGGGTGGAAGTCAGAGCTCCACCCAGTACACAGAGCTCCAGCCCCTCACTGATCCTCCTGCAGGTGGTGAGTCCACAGGAGCCTTGATCTTTCAGCGGGGGCTTCAGGCAAAGTGGGGTTAAGTGTCTTGCTCAATGACACAACGACAGCAGACGTCAATAGGAGTCGTGAAGCAGGTCTTATGATGGGCTCGAACCCACGACCTTCAGGCTCCAAGGCCAATGCTCTACCAACTGAGCCACTGTTGCTCCGACTGGTTTTGCATTTCAATTTCAAGTTCAATTTTCAAATCAATTTAAAATACAGAAATTCACTTTCGGAAAATTGTCTAACTTCCCAATTTTCACCGTAAGTGACTAATGGACACATGTTCACTTGTGTGACACGGTGGCTGATGAGATAGCACTCCCGCTTCTCAGTAAAAAGGTCCTGGGTTCCAATCCTGCTCAGAACAGGGTATTACAGAGTTTGCACCCCCCGTGTCTATGTAGGTTTCCTCCAGGTGCTCCAGTTTCCCTTACCACTAAAAACATGTACAATAAGTGTGTTGGGCCCTTTGATGTGCCACTTTGTTTGGCTTCTCTTCCATCATCACCGTGTGTGGAGAAAATGAAACAATATCTGAACTCTGAACATTTTCAAGCGCTTTGGGTGACCTTGGACTGGTAAAATGTCCTACTGTAAATAAAGATTAATTAATCTCACTTTCACTTGTTTGGTGGTTTTACATCCACAAATAAATAATTTCTAACCACAAGTGAACCAGAGTCGGTCCAGTTTACGGGAACCAGAACAAAAAGTTTGAAGGCACCCAAGTCTGATGTTGAAGTGTTTGAGAGTACATACCACAGGTGCCGAAGGCTTTAGAAGGAGCCTGGGCCCTAACATTACCTTCCACACAAGAGGGGAGAGCCTTTGTGGTCCCGGCCACCTGTCCTGGGAAGCACGAGCACTTGACTGTCTGAGAGCGTTCTTCAATCTTGTTCTTGTTGCAGCATCGATGGGCTGCGACCACTTCACACGTCCCTGTCCTTTCCTGCGATGACCCTGCCAAGAGGAACACCAGGTCACGCTTTTATTTTTTTATGATGGGTACTCCGTGTTTGTTCTTAGAAATCAGAAACTTTTGTTTTCCCCCTTCAGAGAGCCTCACATGGTCTTCATCAAACGTATTTTACCAAACGAATTCTGAGAAACAAACAAACGTAGTAAATCCTGGAGATCGCAGCTAAAAAGTAAAATAAAATGAAAAATAATATAGAGTGCCTAGAAAATGTGTCTGAACAGCTTGAGCTCTTGTACATTTTCTCAAAATGCAACCATAGACATAAGGATTTTACTTTGCTGTGGTCTTTCAGAAAAATAAAATCCAAAGTAACAGCTAACTGTAGCCTGGCCATCCGTTCACTCCGCTCAATCATTATTTCCCTGCATGTAAAGTCTGGGTCTGGTCCCTGTGTTTGCGATTAAAATAGTTTTTTATTCATCCGACCAATCAGCGAGTGCGGGAGGCAGGTGTTGTAGTTAGTTGTAGGTGATGTCAAGAGTTTGCGCCGAACTCTTGACATCATCTTGACAAGTTTGTAGTTTGGCATAAGAATGTGATAGTAAAGTATTCCGTTCTGGTTCTCTCAAGGAATTGAAGCCGGAGCAAAGTTTAGCAAATGTAATTGCTGGCAAAGATTGTGGCGCTACTCTCATGCCCTCTGTTAGCGGCAAAGGAGATGGCTAGGCTAAATGCTAACGACTCACTCGGGTGCAATACATACGTAACCCACCTGGTAACGGAGCTCAATGGAGCACCTCCAGACCTTAGTGCGAAATGTAATTTGTACTGGGGTGTGGCACGACCAGCCTAAGCCAAGTGTGAAGTGAACGCAAAATTATTCATCAAAATTATTCATCAAAGGCAGGCTGTTATAAGGGATCGGGACAGCATAAGTTAATTCTATGTGGAACCCTCAGCCCCAGCTCTTCCTCCAATAATCTCTTGTATTTTTCTCCATCCACTTTCCGATCATATCTTCCCTGTCTCTGGTGAAGAAGGTAGCCCCATAGTATGATGCTGCCACCCCCATATTTGATACTGGCAATGGGAGAATGTGTCACCTGCTTTATTTCTTGCATCTTTATTTCAGCACTGGCTTTTGATAAACCACTTGTTCATAATGTGTGCTATGGATGTCTGCAGCTCCTCCAGAGTAACCATGGTCCTCTTGTCTGTATCTACGATCAGTGTTGTCCTTGTTTGAGCTGTGAGTTTGCACAGATATCTGAGTCTTGGTAGCGTTGAAGTTGTGCCATACTCTATCATTTTGTTTTCACTTCACAGTTGTCTGCTACTTTGTTGTGGTTTTTCAGTCAAAAAATAAATAATTGTGCAGACGCTTTCAAAAGACATGGTATACAGTACAGTACATGTAAAGACTTCACATGCAAATATACACACACATCTATACATACACACATCATATATACATTATACAAAACGCAAATGTCAACTGTACGAGTCAAGTAATATACCAACACAACATACGACAGCACATACATTCAAGACAAAAGAGTGAAAGATAAGTAAGAATCACATTTAGTGCAGTGTACTGTAGTTGTCACAAAGAGGACTGAGAGCTGATTGGCTGTCCTGCGGGTACATTTGATAGACAGGAGTGAGTTTAGTTTGCACTTAGAACATCTGATAACCTAACTTCAAAAGGCTTTTGATGCTTGCTTGGTATATAATATAGTATACGTGTCTATTGTAACCTGATGATCATGTGTTACATTACAGCACCACCAAGAGGACAACAAAGGTATAGCAGCTGCTCATGTTCAGACACAGATGCCAGTTTGTATTTAACATTAATTATATGTCTGCGTTCAGCCGGCGTAATTTCTATGATGCATGTTGTTGTAACACATCATTGTCCAGTGAACTCTGCACATGAAATGGACAAAGCGATTACAAATGTGAGTCCAGTGAGTGCACTCAGCGGTGTGTGTGTGTGCAACACCGACAAACAGCTGCAGCATCAGAGGGACATATTTAACTGTGAGCCCAAATCAAACGACAATATGAATATGCTGGCACTTTTCACTGCCCTTACTCTAATTGTGTAGTAAGGAAGTGTTGTTATTTATTTCATTTGTAAGTTAAATTGTCCTATCCGATGTGCAAACTAATTACATGTTTTATTAGCTATTTTTGAAATCTATCCACAGAAGAACTCACAATAAAATAAAATAAAACTAGTTCTGTGGGCTTTAAGTGAGCAATGAATTGAGAAATAATATTGTTTTTATTGAATGCAGCATGTGAGATGTATTATTTGTGGACAAAACAGATTGAGGGTCTAAGGACGGTGATGATCTAGGACGTACTGACATTTAAAGACATTAGTCATCACATGTCCCTGTGGATCTATGGATGTGTGTTTCTAATCTACTGTTGGCAGTTTGACAATTTTGTAAAGTCCTCTGAGACGACAGCTGCTGTGATTTTGGGCTATGCAAAAATACATTTAAATGAATTGACTGCTTGTAAATGGTTTAAAATCATGCAAGTTTAAGCTTTAATCTTGGATATTGGAAAACAAAAATTATATATATAGTTGTGCAATAAACAAGAAAACAATAAATATGTGTCAAAAAATGTATATTGCAATGCATTGTTTGTAAAGTTAACTTATTTAGTTTCAAACGATACCACTCGTGCACACACACACACACACACACACAAACACACACAGCACACACACAAACACACACACACAGACACATACACACACAAACACACACACACACACACACACAAACCTCTTCTTCCCCATCACTTGCTCTGTGCCCAGGGCGTCACTCTCTCACTCTCTTCTCCACATTAGTCATTCTATTTCCAGCTAAAAAACTGAAATGATTTTTGGTCCACAAAAACAAAGAGAAAGCATGTTCTGTCATCCCTCTAAAACCTTCAAATTAGCTCAAAAAGAGCAGGGGAAATAATGGACTCAGACTTAAACTTCAACAGCCACATTAAATCAGTAACATTTGTCCAAAACGCTGCAGCTCGAGTCCTGACTAGAACCAGGAAGTATGATCACATTATTCCAGTTCTCAGGTCTCTGCGCTGGCTTCCTGTGGCTCAGAGAATTGACTTTAAAACTGTACAAGTCTCTCCATGGCCTCGCTCCAAACTACATCTGTCACATGTTAGTGTATGTAAACTCGGACTCTGAGGAGCACAGGGACTGGCCTCCTGGTGGTGCCCAGAAACATGGGGAGGCAACGTTTCAGATTTATGCAGCTAAAATCTGGAACAATCTTACTGAAAATGTCAGACAGAATCCCACTCTGGAAATGATCAAATCCAGGTTAAAACAGTTCGGTTTAGCATACAACTGAAGGTTTGTATTTTTTCTCTTCTTAATGATAGAGAACATAACAAATAAGGTTAGGGGAAATTGTGTAAGAACAACCTACACAAATAATTCAATCACAGCCTGTGTTTCTTCACTCTGTTATTGTAATGTGATTATTTACTTCACAAATAAACTTGCCTTTCCTTGCATTCATGATTTATATTTTTATGAACAGAATCCCATTTGAACATGTTTTTAATGTATCTAAGTTCTTCCTTCATGATGATTTAGTTAAGCGTGTCTTAGCACAGTGTTGACAGATCCCCACTGAATTATTGCTTTATAAATAAATGCATGGAGATGAGCATGTCATCCATGTCCCTCATAGGTAATCATTTACAGAGACAAACAGTTGTATTTGGGAGTAAGGCCATCAGTCGGACTAATGGGCCCCCAGGGGCCCTTGGCCTGGTACCTGCTGCCTCTCCTCTGGAGCTTTGGTTGCCAGAGTCCACCTTCTCACAGAGAGCCAGCACACCGAGCAGGAGGACCACACAGTGCAGCAGCCACATCTTCCTCTCACTTCACCTGTGCAAACAATAACATTTATAGTGGTCAATTTAATACATTTTTTTTCTTAAAAGAGCATTTTTACATAATCATTATTCTATTTGCAAACGGATTATGCTGTCATTTGAATAAACACTACAAAACAGCATTCACAAAGCTCAAGACAAGGATTGTAAGTATTAAGACAGACTCAGGGCTTGTGGCAGCTCTAATCCACATCTCCAGTTTATTCTGATTATTGTCTGGTTTGAAAATGAGTAATTCAGCTTAATCTGTGTATTATTATTTTATTACATTGTTTTGGTCCTGTGACAATATGTGAAGTAACAACAGACACCATGATTTTAATAAAATACTTTACTTTCTGTGACTATTGAGATACTCAAAAACACACAGACGCAGTACACAGTAAAGTGTTACCTTAACATTCACAGGGTCCACACGGGAGCTGCATTCGCTGTTTTAGTTCTTCTCTTTGGACAAAAGTTCACTATACGCCATAACGATTTGCCTCTTCATTCGATTGTTTAAAGGTCAGAATAAAATAAAAGAGACTGTGACAAAAATATAAAAAGTCTATGAAAGACAAATAAACCAAAGTCGCTCCACTGAGATGCTGGCGCAGTGAAGCGGCAGCCTGTGGCGCCTGTGGCGGTGATGGATCTGCGCCTCTCGGGCTGATAAAGCGGAGGCTGTCAGCTTTAAGGCGAAAGGAAAATTAAAACTTAATCAAGACACAGACCATCTGTCTGTGGGACAATATGCGGCCACTTTCATTAGTGCGTAAGGAGCTTAGGGCGCTCTCACATCCTGACGCTCGGAGCAAGTGAAGGATATATCAGCAAACAATAACAGGCTCTGAAAGTCACGTTTTTTACACTTCATATAAATGATTCAATATAATATAAAAGCCAAGGTTCAGGGTTCAGGTTGTGGCAATTTAGTTTTTGTTGAATATTGGAACTTAGATTTTACAACCAATTTCTACAAAATAATCGGAAACAAAAAACGATTTCCATCTGCAGTCGCACTCACAAACGCTCACTCATTCACCCCTGAACTGTAGTACATCATTGTAGTGGTGCGCGGGGAAACCTAAGCAGACCACGGGGAGAACATGCAAACTCGACAAAAAAAGGTGCGGAATAGAACCTAGGACCTTCCTGTTGTGATAAACAAGAGTGCATTTGTACAGATATTACAACAGATCCATTCCCAAATAATAAAAAGGGAATGATTGCATATAAGACGGAGGTAGAAAAACATTATATTTAAGTCTGACAGTATGAGATTGTCAATAACAAAATGTTAGTAATGTATAAAAGAAAGTTTGTGCAAGGCATATTCATAATTGAAACCAAAACTTCTGTCAGGTAGCTCAAGTATGAACTAAAAAAATGGGGTGGGGGTTCCCCTAGTGGTGGGATGGATTAAATACAAAAACAATGCAATTTCATTTGATTTCTGTGTGCCCTTATTCTTCATACCTCTGGTCTGTGAATATTATTTGCTTCCAGTGAGAATCAAACACAACAGATAAGGATAACATAACACATCTTTTATTCCAATACATTTTGTCCAGTCATATTTCTTTGCATTATTTGTGACCAAACAAATGCAAGCAACACTGCTGCGTTTGCAAATACATAAGTGTGATGTGATGTCTATAAAGCAATGTCCATAATGAGAGCTTTGATACAACACAGCACATCTTAACTCATGTGGCTGACAGGAAATCTACTAAAAAAGACACACATACAAACAAGAGTAAATACTAATAGAAAAACAGAGAAAAGTGATGACTGTCCCGTTCGAGGCAACACAAGACCTTTAATGCCTTATTTACATCATTGATTTAAATAAACTACCCTAAAGACGTGGTAAAGTTGCTTTGAGAGATCAGTGCTTTGACGAGAAGAGAGTTTTCAAGCGATGAAGTTGAGCTTGAATAAAACGGTCTGGGGAGTCGTCACGTCAGCCACGGCGAGCTCCTGTCCGTCAGACAGCCCCAGCTCTGAAAGCAGACGGTTATGATAAATATACTATAGCTGAGCCGCTGCAGTAGTGAGTCAACTATTGTGCAGACACTGGGGGGACACTGTACTATTACAGTGAGTACAGTAAGTTTTGTCAACAAATAATATATTTAGAATAGTCGGTCCATTTGACATAACGATTTGCTGGAGGAGAATAGTTTAACCGATGACGGGAATTGAATTAATTTGGACCAATCAGGAAACTGTGGGGGTGAGCATGGGCGTCTGAAAACAAGATTATTTCTCTGTCTTTACAGTTTTAAAAGTAACTGACATTCACCTTAAGTCCGTTTACAGTATTTTAACTCAAGTGAACCACACTTGATCCAGATAAAAGTGAAACACATCAACAAATGTGAACTTGCCGTAAAACTCAAACTCAAATCACATAAACAATGAAATATCTTTTGGGCAGTTTGGTGTTAAAAATAACGTGTGGCTTCATCAGCTTTAACCAGGTCAAATTGGGGAAAATAAACATTTGAGTTCTATACAACTAATGAATGAATGGAAAAGCTAGCTCCACCTTCCTATCTTTCCTCCCTGTCACGGTGAGACAGTACAATGAACACTGCTGACCCTGTGCATATGGTATCATTACCATGTGTCCACTCACACATTACATCTGCTCTTCATTTAGCAGTCATTGAAATCTCCCTAGAGCAGAAGAAATGAGGTTTCCCTTTTCCTTAATTAAGACTATTGTCAAACTGATCTTAGTTGCGGCCCTACACTGCGGACACTTACCTTTTAAAGTCTTGCATAAGTTTGGCCTGGTGCGCTCCTCAATCGATTTAACAGACTACAAAAAACAGCAAACATGGTTAGCTTTCCTGAGTCAAGTCTAAAGCAGTGAGCACAAACTCAGCACTCAGTGAAGCCCAAAAGGGAAGCGCTCACTGGCTCTGGCTTCTATTGACTTATGTTGAAAAGTAAACTCCTCTAGCATAAACATCAACCTAAAGACCTACATGTGCGCTCCTCTTTGCCGGTTACGGTGCCATATCCAGTTAACCACTGACCTAAATAGGATGGACACTCAATCATAAAATCGATCTTTTGCAAACTTCTCTCCTCTTCTTGACAAAGGAAAAACTATTTGCAGCCGTTTCATTTCGATTGTGACTCCAGCTTTTGGAGAAGGCAAACACAGGTAACCAGCAAAGAGGAGCGCAGACATACATCCAGAGCTGTCGTAGTCAGTGATACATTTATGTTTGGAATTTAGTAATTCCATGAGTGAAAATATATTATAATTTCCCCTTTTAAATCAACTACTAGTTATAATACAGTGAGTGAAGATCTACCGTACATGTTAATGAATCGAAATCTGTCTTTGTTTTCAAATCTGTAGAGTCCAATAAAGAATTATATTCATATTTTCTATATTCTATTTTTTTTCTTTCCTTTGTACTTTATAATTTTCTTAAACTTCATGGGATTCCTAAGACTCACGACATCTGCAGATCTACTGTTTTAGACACAGGGCTCTCCATCATCATGCAATTGCAGTAAAGTCATGTGAAATCCAATCAAATGAATACATTACCTGCAAGTATAGAGTTTTATTTTTTCCTTCAAGAGTTGTCGTAATAGCAGGGGACTTCATCTGCCTGTAAAAACACAATCGCTTTAGTCGAGTCGCGAGCGAGACGTGTCCGAATGTCATCCTAACTTACAAAGAAGAGTTCTCTGTTAAATACTCCAAAACCTCCTGTAATTTAGCAGATGGAGGAAACTGAAGATCTTGAGGTACCTGGCTACAAGCCGAACAATTGTCCTGAAATAAGCAAAGAAAAGGTGTGTGTGTGTGTGTAAATATAGCATGTACTTTAAGAAAACACTGGTGAATCGGTGACCCACTTTTCTCTCGGCTTCAAACGTGTACGTGTAAAGGCCGTCCACGTCGTTGAAGACCATGTAATTATTTAAGGGCATGTATGCACTGCGGAGGAGACAGAGAACATTCACTATATGCACATGCGACACTTACAAACTCTAATTAGATGTCCAGACAGACCTTGAAGCAATTTTAAAAACTTCTGTGGCACAAGCAGCTGAAGGAAAACATAATAATAAAAATTAAGAATTAAATTGAGGAATTAAGCAGGATAAATGTTGTGGTTAAAAATCTATTATTTCTCACCAGCAATAACAGCATTTGTAGAGGCCACAGCGGGGATGATCCTCTTTACAACACCTGTCAAAGATTGGGAATTAAAGTAACATTCATGCACTTTAAAAATTCCACAGAACCTTCATATATACACGTTTTTGATTTTGCTTTCTCCGTATGGCACTGGCTGTAGACTCGTTTGGAAAAATATCTGTATCTGTGAATTCAAGCTAACCCAGGCCCTTTTTCTTTACTTATTTTGCTTATTTATTATCATTATTATAATCTATTTACTTTTCTTGTTTGGCGCAATGGGTGAAAATAATAAAAAAGGTGTGTCTCATAAGGTACTTGAAATTAGCTTTGATCGTGTTGAGATGTTCTGTGCAAAGACGCAATCAAGTGTTAAAAAATACAAATCCAAAAAGAGATATAAATATGAAAATAAATACAGAGACTTGCATTGACCATAGGAATTCTAAATGTGTCTGGAGGGCTATAAGGCATAAGTCTCACCTTGGGTCAGTCTGTATGTCACTCCTGTGATGTTGAACGCCGTTGCTCTTTCCTGAGCTTTCACAAACACCCACTGAATATGCTCCGGATTGTCTCCATCTAAATTGGTTTCTATGAAGAGAAGTAAAATATAACACTTTCATAACACAGCACTATTTACTGCTAACGTGCAGATTCAACAGTCTGCTCACCACCAAATGGCTTTTCTTTGGGCCATTGCAGGACTCTGGCATACTCGATACAGTGCTCTGGTAGCCTTGGCATTGAGGCAATTGTACACATGGGAAAATTGATCTGAGGAAAAAAGATCAAGAATAATAAAATAAACATCTTCCCTGTAAAAGAGAAATATGGAGCAGTTCACTCTGAATGTTGTTTTGGTGGTTCATTTGTAGCTCTAGTGATAGATTTGACATATTACTTCAGACAACAAACACTCTGTATCTGTCTTATCCCAATGATGTGGACCAAAACAGAATAGTTTCAAAGTATTAGCAGTCAGACAATCACTCGAACTCGATATTAAGAGTGGGGCCAGTCGGCGATATACTACTGTTCACAGTGATACGGTATAATTTTGAGGGATGTGATACTTTGATGTGATAGGTTCAGTGCATGCAGTGTTTTTGTTTTCATTTGGAGCTGTCAGTATGGAGTGGGAAACAATAGCAGGTTCAACAGATGGCAGAAAGCAGAGCATTGACTGATTGTGGCTCTAATATCGGCTGAAACAAACCCAAGCTACACAGGAGGCTTTAAAATGTATCATGGGAAGTTAAAGGCACTAGCTTCTTTACACTTTTGTTTTATTAGAGGAACCTTCTAAACCTTAAACATAAAAAGAAAGACATTACTTCATGGTAAGTTTTATTTGCCTCATCATCAGATAAACATTTTGAATGCACAAAGGGGCGGGGATGGTGCTCCCCTTCAATCGCCCTGGCTCCGCTGTCAGTGTAACTGTTGACTATTGTCTGTTGAAAATTCAAATATGAGCAATACAGGATTTTTGTATTCTGAGACTGGAACCATTTTCAATGTAGTCTTGCCATGACTGATGATTTGTGTGTATTAGTAGTAGTGTAGTAGTTTTTTCTGCCAATTTGTAAGTTAAAAATAACATTCAGAACACATATCAGTAAATACTTCTCTGTTTCATGTTGTGGCTTAAATAGAATAGTTGAATCTTTTGAATTTCCCCTTCAAAATGTATATTGTGAATCATAAAGTCATCACAGAATATTGTTTTTATTTTGTGAATTTATAAATAAGTCATATCCCCCAGCCCAACTGGAGATGGTGTAATATGTGTAATACTGTATGTAATACTACCTGTGGTGGATACAGCTCCAGTGTGCAGTCTATGCACGCAGACATCCCGGGTAGAATGACTCGAGCATTTCCTTTAAAGCCCTCTGTGCCTCCATCAATGAAAGGAATAATAGAGCCGGGATCAAGAACTCCATCTATATAACTCAAGAGGGAGATCTTTACGGAGGAAAGGATCATGTTACCATGGCAATGGAAGATATAGTTTCAGCATATATATATATATATATATATATATATATATATATATATATATATAACCAATTCTTACCAGCATGCCATTCATCCAGCGTCTTGCAATAACAGAGTCCAATCCACAGACAATGATATGGAACTCTACAAAAGAAATTAAACCTTAAACATGTACCATAACTTAACATGCAAATACAAGATAGAGCCATAATATCACTCACGTCTATAAAATGACTCATCAAAATCCTGTATCTTATTAAAATGACTGCACAAATAGTTAAGGATAATACATTTGAGATATTGTTAAACATTTGAATAAATGAATTGAACGTAAAAATGATAATAACCGCCAGATAATAAAAGATACGGTACAACTTCACATCCAGGAACACGGTTGTTTATAAATTCAGCTGCCACATCTGCCTTTGGTCGACCAACATCTTTGGGTCTGTCAAAATACGCAAAATATAGTTAGCTGGTGTAAAATGTGTGTAATAACGGAAAGTAGTCATACGCTCATACCTAAAGAGAAACTGCCTGTTGAGGTTGGACACATCAATCGTATCCATATCAACAACATGAATTTTACGAAACCCAGACAAGGCCTAGGGAAAGTTAAGGAAATTAATTACCCTAGTATAATATCAAGTCCAAAATAACTATGAGGTTATAAATGGTACCAGATTTTTCAGAAGTTCACATCCAAGTCCTCCAGCGCCAATAACCAAGATCTTGCATGTCTCTAACAAGAAGTCTAGGGCCTACATGAATAGAAATAATGTTTACTAATGATGCATGATGTAATAATAAAAAAGGGTGTAATATGTACAGGATTTACCTCCGTGCTGGGATCAAACTCTGGATGGGTGAAAGGGCCAGGTCTTTCCAGGAACTTCTTGACGTGACTCCACCGCCCATCCCAGTTGCATGAAACATCACTGTGTCCACCATCAACAGCCATTCTAAAGGCATCGAAACAGGATACGCTGAATGTGTATTAAACCATTTCTCTACTCTCCTCTACACTATGTACACAGACTGTATCTGCATTTTCCTGGTGTGAAATACCACCAGCATGTGAAAGAAGGAGGACTAATGAAACAAATATGATCTAAATATAGATTATACAGCAGCAAAACGAAGATGTCATCACTAATTTAATAATTTAATATGTCCACATCATCTCCACAGTCTATCTATTTATAGACCAACTTCAGCGAGCCAGATCCGAGCTGAACACATAAACATTGCAGTGTAAAGGGCGGTGTAAACAACAGAGCAGTGTATTAGCATATGAATTGTGCACATAAACTGGACTAAATGACTCTAAATTCATGTTTTTCTCATGTGTGTCTCCTGGCCCAGCAGCAGTAGCAACCTGCCAGTCAGAGACCTTTATTTAGCATTCAACTAACTTCTCAGACAGGTCCTCTATTCTCCGTCTTTTCTTCTCCCTGCAAGTGACAAGTGAATCAATCATTAGTCTGCTATGTTTCTCATACATTATAAAAGCAGTTTATTGGTAGTAAAATATATATTTTCTTGTAAATTCACTTACGGCTCCTCGGCAACCGCCATACTTTCACGGTCCCATGTCCTCGATAGACTACTTCCGGGTACGGCGAACCTAACACAAAGCTATTCTAAATTTCCATTATTATTGTTGTATATTTCTATTTACATTTTATAAATATTACCATCTATTTTGTCGCCAATTTAAATATTTTAAATCTTAGTAGATATTGACCTTTTTAAAGCAAAACACATATCTATATAATTTTATTTATTTTGGTTTTAATTATCGAATTTTAGACATACGCATAAAAGCAACAAAAACGTATCTCCTTTTCTTAATAATTATCCATCAATCAATCAATCAATCTTTATTTATAGAGCGCTTTTCCTACTCAGGGCAACACAAAGAACAAAGCTCACAGTCCACACCACACAAGGCACAAATCATCACCATTAAAAATACAATTAAAAACACACAGGTAATTAAAAAAATCAAAACATTAAAATCACAAGTTACAAATCACAAGTAATACAAAAATAAAAATAAATATTAAAATCACACAAAGAGTTACAATAATAAATAACAGGGTGCGTTAAAAATACATAATTCTTCAGTTGTATGCACAGGCAAAAATAAAAGTCTTTATAATCAATGCTCCTTCCGTATCCTTTCTTTTATATATTTTTTTCGCAGGTGGCATCCATATTATACATTTGACACCTTTAACTACCTTGTCTCATGAAGGCACACGTTTAAAGGCTGAGCAAGTAAGTTATATTTAACTGATTTCACTGCATTCGGATGTTTCCCAAATCTCGCGCGAGGTTAGCATCCCCTCTGTTAGCCTGCTAGCTCGTCAGCTGATCTGTCAAAACATTTGGCAGCCGCAGCCTAGACAGCAGTCACTGATCTGTGCTGTAGAGTTTACGTGTACATGCTACAGTCATGGCAGGGAAGATGGAGCTGGCACCTCTCAGACCGTGGGATGACTTCTACCCCGGAGTCGATCGCTTTGGCAAACCTGAGTTTTCAGATATGACCAAATGGAACAACCGAGTTATCAGCAATCTCATGTACTACCAGACCAATTACTTTGCTGCGGCCGTGGTGGTGTTCGTCATTGTGGGGTAAGTTGGGCAGAGCATCGTAGGCATTGTGTGTAGACTGCATTCCATCTGATCCACACCCATAAAGCTGCTATTCTTGTACTCATACTGAAATCCCTTGCTACTAACTATTATGGACTATAATGCAGCTAAAACGTCCCTCAAATAGGTCATAATTTACAGGTTTTGTTATACCTTGTTTAAATATGTGTCCTATTATTTTAGATTTTTATTCTCGACTGTCTTGCCCATTTGGAACCTTGCAACCTTGCTTACATCAATGTATTCGTGTCATACCTATAATCACTAAGTAATGTTCAAACGCTTCTAGGTCTATCGTGGTGTTTGACGTGAGAATGATGGTCTCTAGTGTAAAGACAACGGCTTAAGCACTAACATTTAGATGATGTTAGTGTTTTTTTCCAACCAGTAGGTGCTGCTATTTCACAGTAGTAAATAGTCTATTACTGTTATAATCAGTGCATTTGTAATATGTTTACACTATTTTAAATGTTTAACACTTCAGTCCTGTTTTATTTGAATCTTGATATGTTATTAATAGTATTTCTCTTTCCAGTTTTCTGAATCCACTGGGCATGTTTCTGGGTGGAGCAGTGGTGACTCTGGTCTTCGGTGGATCAGTTTGGGCTGGAGAGAACAAGCCCATCATCAAGAACTTCAAAAAGAAGAATCCAACTCTGTTTGTAGTGGGAGTGATGGCCACCAGCTACTTTGTGCTTTCTCTGTTTGGTGGAGTCCTCGTCTTCATCTTTGGAATAACATTTCCTCTGCTGTGTAAGTTACATATTTATTATACAGTTAATTAACTACAAGATCGGTTAATAACTCTTAATTTTGACGTGTTAAATGGCAGTACTTTCTTATTCATAATAGTAAATATAGAGGTAATAAAAATAGAAGACCTGGCTGGTCTAAAACATGTGAGAGAGACAGTATAACAGATCAGAGCCAAAGGGACAGGTTCAGTGGTTCCCCTGGGCCCTATGTTGATTCGTTGCTATGGCTGGTTTTATCCAAACAGAACTAATTTTACTGCTTGATATCATACCCACATTTGTCCCTGGCATTGGAATAAAAATAATATAAAGAAAGAAGATCATCACATCCCCACAATTTTCTGTGTGTTGTTTTTGTTATCAAGAATATCTCTCTTGGGCGATAGTAGGTCAGTTGGTAGAGCATTGGCCTTTGGGCCTGAAGGTCGTGGGTTCGAGCCCACCACAAGACCTTCTCCACCGACTCCCGCTGATGTCTGCTGTTGTTGTGTTCTTGGGCAAGACACTTAACCACACTTTGCCCGAAGCCCCCACTGAAAGATCTCAGCCCCTGTGGACTCACCACCTGCAGGAGGATCAGTGAGGGGCTGGTGCTCTGTGTACTGGGTGGAGCTCAGACTGCCACCCCCCTTACACAGAAATGGATTAAGGGGAAGAAAATGGATGGATGGGTGGAATATCTCTCTTATCTCACCAGCGTTCAGCATATAACTATATCTAAAAAATAATTTGTTTGTGATTGTAGTAATTCTGATCCACGCATCACTGAGACTACGCAACATGAAGAACCGCCTGGAGAACAAGATGGAGGGTGTGGGAATGAAGAAGACACCGATGGGTATGATCATGGATCTACTGGACCAGCAGGAGGAGAAGATCAACAAGATTCAAGATTTCATCGAAGGCAAACTTAAGCAATAAGGTGTCAAACCAAACATGGAATGACTTAAGCATATTCCTCCTTGACCTGTTTAGTCCTGGTTACCAGCTAATCTCAGAATTGTACTTGTTTGTATGACTGACAAAGGGATGCATTCATTTCTGCAAAATGACTGTCATATCATGAAGAGGTTAGTTTTTAGTGCTTGTAGTTTAGGATTTAATATGTGGTTTGCCAAAAAATAGAGTTGCTATATTTTGATGTTTATACATCTTTATCCATTTGTTTTTCTCTTTTGTGTTGGTAATCCCTTGCTAAAAGATAAGTTACTGGCTAAATTTGCACAATAGTCCTTTGTGGGCTAACTCTAAGATGCAATGAGCAGAGATGATTATTATGTGTTTCCCATCAAAGCAAAGCAATTACTGACAGTTTCACTGAAAGTCACAAAATGTTTACTTTTAGAAACCAAACACACCCATTTTGAATCAGGTTTGTTGTTTTTGCTACCTCACAATTCTATCATACATTAGTCTTGCATAGTAAAATACATACATATATTGTCACCTACTATTCACTTAAACCATTTCACTTTGGAGACTTGTCCTCCACAAAGTGTCCACACTGTCCAGGCTGGCCCGAGTGTAGCCCTTACTGACCACAGCTATGCAACAGAAAAATGAATGGCAAGTGCAGCTTTATGTTTTATCCATTACATTTTACATTGTGTCTTTATTCAAAGTACTGCATGTTGACTTTGACTACATTTATGAACTGCTTTCTTATTGCTTTCCAAAGTGATTTTCATTCCCTCAATCAAAGCTTAACAACTATTTGGAAGTTAACAGACTTTAAAATGAATAAATAAATGCAGTAAAAGTATGTTACTGTATATTCACAATCATGACATTATTTATATGTGTCTTTTCCCTCACACAACGAGAATTTATGACTGCTCCCATGAGAATAAAACTGGTTTCAATTATTTCAGTCGCCTTGTTCATTTTAGATTTAGAGTCAAACAACTGTGACTAATATGACTAATGATTCAAACAATTAAATCCACTAATGATGACTAATGGGTAAATAGAGTTATTATAATTATTAGTGGGGTGATGCTAAACCCGTTAAATGTACAATTAATCGTTTATCTAGTATTTCCGACTCAGATTCTGAAACGTTTTGGTGCATTTTAATTTTCAGTGTTTGGTTCTAAGATAGTGGTTCAGCTGGTGTTATGATTGGGCCATTTCATTGCTGTAGAATCACTGTTTACTGGCTAAAATAACCCAGAACATCACACAGTTTTGACTTATACAAAGTTGTTCTGTAGATAGTATCTTTATTTATACTGTACAGCGCATTTCACGGACCACGGTCACACAAAGCGCTTTACATGGTGGTTTCACTCACTCACTCCACACGGTGATGACAGAAGCGACTTGAACCCAGTGACATTTTGGGTTAACATTAGTGAGTAAATAGTTAATTTAAGAGGGTCTGATGCACAACTGACTTAAAAGTAAAAATCCTTTATTATGGGACACTGATAACACAAGTTGACAGCCAAAAAATGTTCAGGGGTTTCTCAACTGATTTAGACTAATTTTGGTGTTCTGAGTCCGAATATCACATGCATTTTGCTCTATCAGGTCAAGTATTTGAGATACAGCCATAGTGTTACGGATTATGTACGTCTACGTTATTATGAATTCTGCTTATCAAATTTGATGGAGTAAATAAAAACTGAATGACTTTGGATACGTTGACTTTTATTTCTTGAGGAAAACAGAAAAAACGTCAAGGGTTTCTCAGCTGATGATCCGCAGAAATTTGTTTTTTACGCAAAATTAATTAAAAAAAATATTTCTGTAGCAAAAAATCCTGACCTGATTGAGCGAAACCAAGGTCATTTTCGGACTCAGAGCCTCAACATTAGTCTAATTCAGCTGGAAAACCCTGGACTATTTTCAAAACATAATTTTTTGTTACCCAGTGTAATCAAGGATTTTATTCCTGTGATAATAAAGGGTTTTTACTTTGTATATTTACTGGAAGTCAGTTGTGCCTGGGACCTTCTTTTTTCCCTTCAGAATCCCTCTTACCTAAACCTATATATATATAAAATTAGAAAATAATTCAACATTTAGATGAGCCCAAGCAAAAATCAGATCCAAGAAACACAATTTTTCTACATAGAAGCCTTTTTATTTGGAGTTTAACATTCTGAGGGCTTCTTTTCTTTTTTTTTCTGTTTAAAGTAGGCCTACCTCCTTTAGTACAGTTGAGTGAAAGATGAAAAACTTGGGTGTGGGAGAACACGGTGACAGGTTTACTGCTTTTACACATCAAATAGAAATAATTAAGAAATCCTGCCTCAGATGAGACTCGTTTCACTTGATTCCAGCTCTTTAGGGAGTGGCACCTACAAGCAGAAGCAAACACAGAGAGACGTCACAATCTGGACGCCAGTCAAAAACACACATGTATTCATCGATTGCATAACTTTGGGCTGCGATGTTCTACTCACAGCTTTGAGGTAAGCCACGTTGCTCTGTTTGATCTGATCTAGAAGCTGGTCCCTTGGGGTGACGTCTACTTTGGGAGGCACTCTTCTGCGTGGGATCGGCTTTAGGGTCTTTATAACAGCCCCCAGATTCGGTCTTTCGTCTGTCACCCCTTCGCCCGCTGCATCCCTCCCTCTTGGGGTCTTCTTCAGCTGAAAACCTGCCCTATTATCTGATCGTTCCCTGGGGTCTATGTCTAAAAACGGATCTCGCTTCTTGGGCGTCCTCTTGAGCTGGACATCTTTCAGTGGGTTGTTCTGTGCTGGTTCTTTTGTGGGTTTGGGAATGCTGTTGTGGGTCTGCTGCTTTGACATCTGCTGCTTTGACGACACTTCTTCGTTGTTTTTAGATTCAGTTATAGCCTCCAACGGTGGAATTACCCCATGCTCTCGCAGAACCTCTATCGGGTACCCCAACATTTGCAACAAACCTGGCGGAAGATTAAGACTGTTTTCATACATTTGAAGCATCTCCTTCTGCTCCTTTAGCTGCTGTTGTTTTTGCTCTTCCTTTCTCAGCTGCCTCTGCCGATCCAGGTTCCTCGTAAGTATGTTGGTCACCACCATTCTTGGACCGGGCAGTTCGAAGTGGTATCCCATCTTCAGCAGCGTGTTGTTGGCTTTGAGCAAGCGAGAGATCTCCATTTCCGCATGGTGACCCAGCATATGCCTTTGGTTGTGGAATCGCAATTCTGTCAGGGTCTCGTTGAACTGAAGGCAACGGATTATAGCCACGATTCCTTTCCCTGTGATGAAGTTGGACTCAATGTTCAGCGTAGTAATACTGCGGTTCTCTCTCAACATATTGGCAATGTGGAAGGCAATGTTCTCGTCCACTCCTGTGTTGGCTATGCTGAACGTTTTCACATGCTTGTTCTTCTTCAGAGCGTTGACGTAATCTAGAAGCATCTCTTTGGGAATGTTTTCGATATTGTTAAGGTTCACCTCGGTCACGGACGGGTTGCTGTTGCGGATTCTGTCCAGAGTGGAGTCCAAGTTTGTCTCGTTCCCCGAAGGCCTGGAGGTCATCTTGATATTTCCGAGTGATAGCTGCGGTATTTTTAATTTGTTGATTTTCTTTTCTTCTCTAGGAGGTGGTTTGTACGGGGGTTCCTTCGATTCATCAGCGGTAGAAGGGGAATTGTCTTCTACCGCCTCGTCTTTCGTCTCGTGTTTTTCATCAGCGGTAGAAGGGGAATTGTCCTCTACAGTCTCTTTTCTCATTTTGTGTTCTGCGTTTTCTGATTTCGAAATCTCAAGTTGAATGTTTGGCTCTTCTGTCAGTTGGGTGTCATCTTTCCCCTTTTCACTGCTCTCTCTACAGCCGGTATCTTCCTCCTCTTTAATGTTATCTGTAGTGCCATTTTCTTGTTCTGGTGTGATATTTACTTTCTCCGTCTCATCGCTTTTTTGACACGGTTCGTCATCTTCTTCAACTACTATTTCCTCAATGATTTCTTCGATAATCTCCTCGGTAGTCTCACCTTCTCCGGCCTCGTCCATGATGACCTCCTCTATCACTTCGTAAACAACGTCCACATCATCGGCTGTTTCTTCTTGTTCTTTCTTCTCAGCTTCATCCCGTAAGAGTTTCTGGAAAAAAAACACAAAACGCAGATGATATACAGTAGTTTAAGAAGATTCAGTGGGTCAATTCTCATGTGCTCTCCAGGATCAGCAGTGAGAAAAGGAGGAATTTCTCACCGATTATTGAAGGATTTTTATTTAACCGTCAAGAGTGATTTTTTTCTTTTTCGGAAATGAAATGTAATTCAAGAAGTGTAAATTATTATTTTAAACTTTTGTGCATCAAGCTTTGAAAGTCCAATTTATAAGATTTACCTTATTGGTTCCTGGGGAGTCCCATTTTCACACAAAGATAATTCTGAAATCTTGATGATGTGATTCATAAAATTTTATTGAATGGAATAATTGTATTATTTATGTGGTAACTCTACCTTTTTTTCTATTTCTGTGTGTAGTAATAAAATGATCAGGTGTACAGGTTTCCTGCATGCACACCACATTGATTACACCGTTGTATTAGAATTTTCTTTTTTGCATACTGTACTTGTAAGAAAGAGCCCTGTGAGTCACTATTTGAGGCTTTGGGCTAAGAGCTAATTTGAGTAAAAAATATATGCATGCAAAAACCAGTGAAGGAAACTGTATTGAGGGAGACACTTAGATAGAGATATTGTTGTTGTGGTCTGAAAGTTAGTTACTCCAGCTTTAATAAATAGTGTTCATAGTGATTTGCGTAAATATTCACTGACTTATATTATAATCCCCAATTTAACAATTTATACACGGCATTAAAGCTGAGGGAGCCGAGATTTAATCATGTAATGTCTCTAGTTGTAATATGCATGTATTTTTATTATTGTAGAAAAGTGAAAAAGAAGGGACCACACGCACTCAGCCAATCAGCTCTCAGACCCAAAGCATCAAATCCCAGAGCTCCTTCTTACAAGTATGCAAAAGATTCAATGTTTTTACTTAATATAGAGGCATGTTGTGGACTGATTGGCTCATACAATGTTAATTTTGTTGTGATAAACCAAAAATATGAATTATGAAAGAAATTGAGGTTGTTTAACGTTTTGTTTTGTCCTTTCTGAAATTCGGTATTGCGCAATGTCTTATTATATTCTCTATTATATGCCCTATCATATATATAATATATATGTAGATGTTCTAGTCTAGGATAACTTCAAAGTGCACTCTTAAAACTACCCTAAACATTTAAATTCAAGGATTTACAAGATTTTTTGTTTTGTTTTTACAAGAACGTGGGAATGTATAAGATTTTTCTTCCTCTCACTCCTTTTAGAGTTTGAATAATGAACAATATTGTAACAAGTAATTGTAAATTAATGATTCGCTTTGATAGTAAAAGTTTAATATATATTGAACTCTAAATAAATAAACGCTCAACTCAAGGATATATTCAATTAGGTTTTATCCCTAAATCTCACAGATCTCTAAAAAATTCCGAATTTCTTTCACTAGACAACAACATGAGAGCGCTCTTTTGAGAACAATCACTTATCACGACAGTCTCACCTCACTCGGTAGTAAAGTGGCAGGCACTCTCTCCTCCTCCAGCATTCGTTTGGACTCCTTCTCCCAGTACATATAATCCACGAGCGAGCGGTGATCAAAAGTTCCAGTTGGAGGCTTCTCTGTCTGGTCTTTTTGCCTTTGTCCCACTGGTACATTCTCATCAGGCGCAATCATAACATCCATCTCACTCTGAAGCTCTTTCAGCTCCTCTGGTGACAACATGGCCAGGAGCTCATCTTCATCAATATCTTCCTCATTCAAATCCTCAATATCTTGGATATTGGACATTTTAGATCCTGTGTAGTGTGAGTATAAGTATGGATCTTGCGCGTGGTTAAGCCTACAGCAAACTGGCTTGTTGGGCTGAGTGCATCTGTCTCATGTGGAGGCTATATTTAACACTGGTGAATTGCATGGAAGATATTTAAGGCACAGGCGAACATTCTTTTCTCCCTTGCTCCCAGCTGGCCCGGTCGTCAGAATGGATCAGGATGACAGTTGCTTCAGGCAGAGGAAAGCTGTGATTGACAGGAGCAGGTGCAGTGTGAGGGAGGCGCCGTACGGAGCAGACAGTGCATACGGCTCCTCCCTCTTCCAGTGTTTCTGAGAAGAGACTTTGATGACATCATATTGTTTATTTGTGTAGCGTTAGACGAGGATTTACTGTTCTTTTAATTCTGGTGTTATGGACTATACTCTTCAAACTATTTAGGGATTAACTGTGAAGGCACATTTTTGTTGGATGTACGGGGCATATTGGATAGGTTCATGTGGATCATATGATAAACAAAATGTAAAGTTGGAAATTCATCTGTTAGATTTCAAAATGCAGTTACATTTTTATAATCTATTGTGTATGATCATAAAATGTACTATTTTGGATCATGTGATTTCAACAAGTAGGTTCCAGCACCCGTGCGACAGTGGCTCAGTTGTTAGAGCATTGGCCTTTGGGCCTGAAGACCGTGGGTTTGAGCCCACCTTAAGACCTACTTCATGACTCCCTCTGATGTCTGCTGTTGTTGTGTCCTTGGGCAAGACACTTAACCCCACTTTGCCTGAAGCCCCCGCTGAAAGATCAAGGCTCCTGTGGACTCACCACCTGCTGGAGGATCAGTGAGGGGCTGGTGATATGCGAACTGGATGCAGCTCTGACTGCCACCCCCCCGACCCAGAAATGGATTAAGGGGAAGAAGATGGATGGATGGAGGTTTCAGCACCTGCTTAAATCTATGGAGATGTTTGTCAGGACTAAACATCAAACCTTGGGGGACTGAGCTTTCTCCGCCCTCACAGTCCGAAAACTCACTCCCACAACCCATTATAAACTCCCCACTCACTACAGAACTTTAAATCACTTCTCAAAACCCACCTGTTTCAGCTTGCCTTTCCTTAATTTGGTTCTTCAATGTTCATTATGTGTTTTGTAAAGCATCTTTGAGTTTCCAAAAAGCGCTATATAAGTTTGATATAATATTATTATTTGTTTTATACAAATCATCATCCAGATCCTCTCCAAAATTGAATCTGTTGTTCACTGTCACTTACCTCCTATGTAAAAACGTAATGTGTAGCTAATACAGGCAAAACATTACATTAATGTTAATGTTAAAATTAACTATAACATTACTGGAAAATCAAATATATAGAAGAAATGTAATTGTTTGGAATGGAAAGTCTCACAGTAAAGTATCTGTTCTATTCAAAACAGTCTAGTCTTGATTTGTCAGTACAATTGAACCATCAGATATTTTCTCCAAACTGACAGAAAGCCAATACTATTAATCCTCACCACCGTCTTTAGATTTATACAACACGTTCCTACAATTTTAACATTTGTTAAATTTAAATGCATGTTTCTATCAAAAATGTATCTCTGCCATAGCAATGATGACCCCCACTCTTCAAAGCCTTCGTCATCCTCACATAGTGCAAGATGAAAACACGACATAAGCAGCTTATCTATAGTATTACAACATTAAGTCAAAGTCATGAAACACACACACATATTTATTCACATGGTGGAAAATGTTGAATGACACCTAACACTATTGAGCTATATACAATAAACAGTGAGAAAAACAACAGCTCTCTTTTCTTAAATTACGGCAGTGGTGCTTTGATAAATATTAAAAAAAGACTTATCAAAATCCAAGTTCTAAACATGCGTTTGAGATCACACTACGGCACCGAACAAATGTGTCTACTGTATAAACATTGTGATTTGAGAAAAAGCAAAAAGTGACCACACTGTCTACTCTATTGGACCAAAGTCGTTCATTCTAACGTCTACATAAGGCAGTAGTTTGTTCCTGTTAAAAGACACTTAGAAATGAGCGTGATGTCATTGTCTGTAGACGTTTAAGATCCTGTGAAGTTGTGCAATATTCTGACCACAATCCACCCATCCAAGGCACAGGAAAAGTCATTCAAGAGTGTCCCAGTTATTCTTCTCCGACCGGGGAAAACTGTGTACGCAGTCATTCAAAAATAAGGTTTCAAATTGTCTTATTGTTGCGGCTTCCATTGATGGCTCTGTGTGAGTGTGGTCCTCTTCAGTGGAGTATCCCCATGTAGCCATGATCCAGGTAATATCTACATACAAATAACAAAAATAGGTTAAAATGATTATCAATGACTAGAACTCTGCATTTCGGACCGCTCTCAACTTTCTCATTTCAAGCTGTTGTTTTTTGCCACTGATTAAAAATATGACCTCATCGGCAAATGTCTTTACTCAAACAAGACTGTTCTGGTTCCATGAACAGGTTTTCAAATCAGCAAAACTATGTAGGTCAAAGTAAAAGCTATTATACCTAGTCACAAATACCTAAAAGTACTCTGATGTTGTACTATGTCCAAGCACAGAGGCTATTGTGGCTTTTTATGAAACCATTTTATGAAACAAATGTTTTTTTGGAACTTTGTTCTTTGCACATCCTATTGACAATCCTACAATCAATCCTATTTACTTTTTCCGTAAGGATTTTGGAAAAAAATTGTTACGGCTTGTTCAAGGATAATCGTCAGCCATGTGGTGAATCATGACCATAAGATTGACAACTAGTTTCTGAAAAACACATTTTGCCAAATTGTAGGCATTGGTCTGAAAACAACTGTGTTTTGAATATTAGCAACCAACTTGAGGAGGACTTTCTCCAAACTCTTGATTATGGGATTTTTCAAAACTCCTACAGGAAATTTGTCGGGGAATTTTACCCCTGCAACCAGAGCAGATTGAAGAGGGCAGGACTTTGTAGCTCCATGGAACATAATTATCTAAACTAATGTTGAGGCAAAGCAGTAAACAAGTGTCCATGCATGTAACACACACAGCTACACAAAGGTGCACAAATCTACAAACATGAGCCAGTGATGGAGTGATTATAACTGAAACGTTCACAGTGAGATGACGGTGACTTCTAATGATAACTAGACCAAACATGAAATAATGGGATGATCTCAGAGGCGGATGTTCTCACCCTTAAGACCTGCTGTCACCAGCTTCAGCTGCACTACTGCCTTCAACTGACTGAGTCTGTTTTTGCACTGTGTCCGACTGGGACACTTTGCATTCTGGGGAAATTCTGCACACACCATCAATGACAACAACAGTACGATTGTTAAGTTAGATTCAGATTCAGATTCATTTATTTGCCATTTGCAGTAAAACCACATAGGAAAAACTGTGCAAGACTACCCCGGTGTGCACCAGACAGAGAAGACGACACACACCAGAGCTCTTGCCACGGTTATGTGGCAAGAGCTCAAGCTAAAGTTATGTATTAAAACCAACCAATAAACACTTTAATGTAACACAAAGTCAGCATTGAGACCTTTCAATACATTTTGAACCTTGTAAAAGTTTAAAGGAAATGTACTGATTGAATGCAATGAATAATCTTGAAAGCCCTCATATAATTTGATTGCACTTCTTTAACGATAAACATTTACGTATGAACTCATGTAGGAGATTCTGTCTTCAGTGACAGACCGATCCACCCTCACTGTGTGAAGGAGAGGTACAACAGAACTGCTGAGTGTGCACATGTCATCGTAAATATGTTGATATATGCTCACTCTAATTATGAAGCATTTACAGCTACTTAAGAAGAATTCAGAGCTACCGATCTCTGTATACTGTGTGTGTACAGTCCTGTGTGGGCGCTGCAACACCAACATTTCTGAATAAATGCTCTCTTATCTTGTAGATTATGTTGGAATTAACCTTAAATTAAGCCCTATCTGTCCACTTATAATCAACTCATCGATCTTCAACACAAACACATTCAAAATAGAAAGGTATTCAATTAGTTTAGTATTCAGTTTGTTTACAATGTGATATCAAAAGATCAATAGACGTAAAAGTCATAATTATTTTTGCACCTGGTGTGTGAGGGGCTGCGGTTGTACGGAGACACTGGTGCTCCATGGTGTAGAGAAGGGTCTGAGTCGGTCAGACCCACGGCCAGCTGGTTCCTCCAGTTCCCCACACTCTCCACTGAGGACACTGCAAACACACATGACGTACACCACAATTACATTCAGGTAAGCTGACATTAGCAGCTGTTTTGAGTGGACACACTGCATTTGGTTAAAAACAAACATTTTGAGTGCACTGTGTACCTTCTCTGCTGGAGGGTCCTTCATCTGCTTGTCTCATGAAAACATTATGTTTTAATCTATCGGTCTTGCATTTATCAATGTCTATAGACCACCTCTTTCTTTATATATTTCTTTTTTGTAAACATTATAGAATACACAGTAGAGCAGGCATGTCCAAACTAAGGCCCCTGGGCCAATTGCGGCCCTCAGTGTAATACTATCTGGCCCTCAGCCTCACTAACCCAAAGTAAGGATAAACACAGAAGTTCACATAAATCTAGTTGTGAAGCTCAGGATCTCTGGAATCCAGTCGTTGACTTTGTTTGAATTTACTGACGTTTGTTTTTGATTGCATGACGCGAATGTATCTGGTGAGTAAACAGTTCAGTCAACTTCGGCTCCAACAAAGTGAACCAATATAGACATGCCAAACCTAATTCTAAAGCTCAGAACAGCCCAAATGCAGTTGTTTCATGTTGTCTTCCTCTGTTTGGTGGTACTTAGTACTAAAAAGTTTGGACACTCGTGAAATATAATTAATGGACATTTCCACTAAATAGAATATTCTACAAAAAAACTCATACAATTGGTTTATTAAATAAATATTTGTGTTTGTCTAAAACATTTGGGGCACTAAACAACGCACATATTTTGAGCTATTAGTCCTAATAATGTCTGACCTGAAGAGAAGGAGGTGGTTCTGCTGGAGTGGCTGAAGGCAGCGGGCATGGTCTGGTAGCCCAGGCTGAGTTGTGACCCAGGGTCCAGGTCGTATGCTGCGATGCCACGGCCTCCTCCAGGGGGCGCTCTGTTGCGGTGGTACCAGCCGCGCAGGTGCTCTGCTACGATGGCCTTCTGCATGTTCTTAGCCAGCGCTTCAGTCCGGGGCCCCTCCCTGCTGCGTGGGGGCCTCATGGTGGCGTAGGGGTTCTGGGCCAGACTGTCTGCTCTGTTCTTGTACTGCTTGTATCTGTCGTGTCCAGTGTAGCCGTTCACCTGGTACGACGGGTGCAGGTTGTAGTGGCCCTCCACTTCACTCTCGTACACATAGGCCCCGTTGGCGTAAGGCTCCATGTCGGAGTAGCCTGGCACATAATAGGAACTGGGGGCGTATTGTGCTGGACTTTCAGTGTAGCTGCTGGAGTTGTGTGGCACCAGGTTGGGCATGCTCCCAGTGTTTCCATACACCTCCACCTTTCTGTGCAGCCGGTGCATGGTGGGGCTTCGGGAGTCCAGAGTACTGTAATGGGAGTTTGTGGCCCCGCATAATTCAAGACTAGACTGACTTGTGTAGGAGGAACAGTCCTCTAACGCCTCTGAACTGTTGCAGCGATGCGCTGGAGACAAGATAAAGATGGGTTTGTCAGAGTCTTTTTGTTTTCTCAGATGGGGCTGTGATTCCAAGCTGCCACTGCGATGCCTAAAGCAGTGTGGAGAGCCTTCAGACCTGAGGAAAGCAGTGATATACACAATCAATTCTGTTACTCTGGCAGGAGATGTATTTTTTTGGTGATGGTTTGGTCTATAATACATCTAAGATATCTTTGATAACCACAGTGAATAAAGAAGTAAAGAAAGAACCATAAGAGGAGCACACCTGAGCTGGCTGCTGCTGTAGGCGTTGCGGGTCATAATGGGGGTGGGTGGCATGCTGCATGCATCTCGAGGAGCTCTGGGAAGGCTTTTATAAGGACTATTGTTGGCAGATGACACCTGTCTGGGTTTCTGGTAATAGTGAGGCACCTCTGTGCTCTCAGGACCTAATCTAAAAGGATAAATTAAAAGAAGTATGGGAAAAAAATCAGGAACAAGTTGGAAAAAAGTTGGGCTGCAGTGAAAATTGCAAATTATATATACAAAATAATATTTTCACAAAAAGCCAAAAGAATAGGATGTGAAGATCAAGTACCTATGGTGATTCTTGCTGTGGTGAGTCTCTCTGTTTGGCCCCTGTCTGTCAGCCTCATAGTCGGCTCCCAGGGACCTCATGGGGCTGAGCTGAGGTGTGCTTTGTACAGAGCAGGAGCGTGGCCTTGGACAGGAGTCTGAGTCTTCTGCATTGACACACACAGAGGTTAAAGCTTTAGAACACAACACACACACAAAGACAAATGCACACACACACGCAGACACACATACACACAAGAAACTGACCATCGTCTGGAGGGAGGCTGGACAGAGAGCCGCAGTCTGAGCGAGGAAGTGCATCTACACACAGAGAATAAGTCTCTTTATGAAGTCAGCAAAGCTATAATAATCTCATACAAGCATCTACTGCACCTGCGATGATGACGGAGGCGCGCTGCGTGGGCTTCTTGCCTTTCTTTACTCTGTACTGGTTCATCTCGTCCTCGATCTGCTGAAGTTTATGCATAGCGTCCAGACAGTTCCTTCTCCTTTTCTTCTTCACAGTTTTACACAGCTCTGCTTCATTTGCCAGTTTCTTTGCTGCTTCCACAATCTTCTGTTGAAGGGCAAAGCGGCTCTCCAGGTTTCTCAGGATCGGGTCCTGCTCAGAAACACAACATTTACAATCCTCCATTCATGTAATCCATATCTATACATGTTTTTAATGTGTAAATGGCTCTCAGAAGCCTGCACAGACCTCATTGTACGGGAAGAGGTCGTCTAACTTGAACGCGGTGCCAATTCTTCGGCGGATATGAGGGGGTCTCTCTCCAGCGCTCAGGGGATACTCTTTTGGCAGTTTGCCCGTCAGCTCCTGAAAACAAAAGCTTGCAATGTTAACCAAGTAACACACACAGAAACACTATTGACATTTGGTTCTCGGATTGTGCAGAAAAGCTGGAATACGAACTTAATTAAAAAAATATATGCATATAAATACAGTTTGTTTGTTCCATTAGAAAGAGTCTTGTTTGAAGTGAAGGTTACTTTTAAAATTGTGAAGAAAGAGAGACATGTTTTGAAAGCAAGCGCTAGTTAGACCCGCCCCCACAGCTTCCTGATTGGACACAATTAACTATGATCCCTTGATGAGAACTGAGACCTCTCCCCATTATTCCATACTATTCTTTTATTCTCCAAATAGCAATTCTTACTGATGATGCTTATTCCAAGGGGCTATTTAGTCATGGAAAAATGTGTATTCTTAAAAAAACACCTTTATGACATACATGTTGTGAACAAATGGCTACAATACAGTCTTTATCTTTTTAGAAAACATACTGAGAGCTGATTGGCTGAGGGAGGGCTTGTTCGCTTTTTCTAACTGGAAAAGCTGAAAAGCCTAAAATACATCCATGTGTGAACCAGATATAGAACCAAAGGATTTCTAGAGGAAGGAACTGGTTACATGGATTTATTTCATGGTACATTTGTTGCGGTTTAAAAGTTAGGTACCCCAGCTTTAAGACGCTGGGCACATGTCTTACCGCCTCCCGTAGACAAATCTTTTTCAGCTCTTTTGTCTTCTTGTTCAGAATATCCTGGATCTCCTGCTCTTTTTTCCTCAGCTCAGAAAGCTTCTCCTTTTTCTGTTCTTCACTCATCTCCGAGTCTCCCGATTCTGTGAAGTTGTTGAAAGGAGATAAGTGATTTTCAAACATTGACCTTTTTGAGCTTTTAACCATGTTGCAACATTGTTCCTTCGTCAAAGACATATCTGCAGTTGTTTATGATCCAGAACTTGTGGCACAAACATGTCACTCCACCCCTTCTTGTCTCATCTTGTAACAGTATGATGACATCGTACCACTATGACATCACACTCAGAGCAGTTTTCCACCTCACAAAACAAAATGATTGCCCCTAAAATGCCGATTGCTCCGGTGAAAATGAGTTCTTTACAATTGTGTGGCTGTGTTTGCACCAGATAATTATTACACTTGGGAAAAAAATTAAACAAATTCACGCCCTCCCTCACTCTGGTGGAAGCATAAGGAGTTACAGGCAGAAATCACTTTCACAATACATTTTCTACTTCCGATATTATTTAACATTCTGAAACAAGAAATTAGGTAAATGGTCTCATTATCATTTTAATGGCCAAAACATCACTAAATAATTTGCATGGATATAAATGTACAGGTAAAACAGAAAATATACATTTTCTGAGATTTATTTGGTGTTTTTACAAGTTGTGAACCAATTATCAACATTATAATGAATATTGTGTGTAATGAGTCTCAGTTCCATATTGTAAGTTAAATTACAGAAGTAAATGGACTTATATCAACATTTTCCGACTTTGACCTTTAAGACATCTGTGCTTTCAACTGAAAAGGTTTTGAAATACATGTATTACCTGTAGACACCAAGCTGCCATTGCTTGCAGTGATCAAATCGTTCTTTACTCCTGTTTCCCCGAGTTTGGTTATTTTTGCTCCTCCTTGTTCCGTGAGATCCATTGCGATTTCCTCTAAACTTCTCGTGGTTCCTAACTTTGCCTGTGAATGACAAACAAAAACGCATTCCATGGGGCACATCATTTGGATCGCACAAATATTGCAAAGACTTACGACCCTTACTTTAGTTTGCTTTCTGTCCAGGTAGAACTGGTGCTGACTAATGGCCATTACCCAGATGGTTTTGATGAGAGAGTGGCTGGCGTACCATGTGTGGATGAGGAGGCCCGTCTGTCCAAAAGTGCGTTTAGTGACTGCTCTCCTAAAGCACACACACAAACACACACAGACGAACAAAACATTAGCCTGTGTGAGCTCAACAAGTAACGAAATCTGTAATGTGTACATAGCTTCTACTACCTGTGTGGATCATTGACTTCTATGGCAAACTTCTTCTCACGAAAATACAGGTTCTCAAGCTGCTTCCATTGGTACAGCTGGAACGCACGTCAAAATACAATTAATAATTTGCCATAATCCGTCAAATCGATATCTTCTACACTGTGAGTAATTGTGTCAAAGCACATACTTTAAAACATATGAGCAACCATCTTTAATGTTCCTTTTCTATAGCAAATGTAGAAAAAAGAAATGATAACTGTAGGAAGAGTGGCTGCAGATGTTGAGGATTCTTGGAAATATATTTGCTGATATCAAAATGAAACAATGTGTGTCCGGGAACAGGAACAAAAAAGCTTCACTTATGAATAGCACATGCGGAATGATGGGAATTCAAGCGGATAAAGCATTTTTTTGTTTACATCTTGTTGCAAATAAACAGGCAGCTGAAAACCCTGGGAACACATCACCACATTAAACCGTCTTTTGTATTCTTAAATAAAAGGAAACACTATTTTTGTGCTCAAAAATGTTGATGGAAAAACTTGTTCTCACAGACAGCAGCATAGCACGGCCAACTGATTCCACCTTCTTACTGTATAAATCTCCATAGATATGAATTTCAAAATATGGAATATGCGATGCACTTTTAAGGCACAACTTCTGAATATACAAAACAAGATTTTCAAACAGAAAAGGGTGAAACACTGCAAATAGGACAAGCACTAAAAGCCATGTTTTGATTTGTTTGCTGACAGGACGAACAATTTATCACTTGAAAGAGAAAGTAATTGTTTGGTGCTTAAAAGGAGACAAAAGCTTGTTTATTACCGTCAATATGCCTAAGTCAAGCAAGTGTTTATTTATATAGTGCGTGTTTACAGAGCAAGGTCACCCAAAGCGAGACGCCGAACACACTGCATTCACACTTATTATGCATGTTTTTAGCAGTAAAGGAAACTGGAGCACTCGGAGGAAACCTACGCAGACACAGGGAGAAAATACAAACTTCACTCAGAGAGGCCCTGTTCCGACTGGGATTCAAACCCAGGACCTTCTTGCTAAGAAGCGAGAGTGAAAACCACTCAGCCACCGTATCTTAATTTGCACAGCGCAGTCAATATGGTGCAAAAAAAAAAAAGTTGTACTGTAAGTACTGTATATTTTGGAGATTATGAAGTATAACAACACTTTTTTCACCTATTGCTAGTGGTTGTGAGTGGCCATTTATGACCAAATAAACTTGTTTTATATTTTCAAATTCAAATCAGAAACTCAACTTCTGACCCTGAGTAGAAGTCTCCATCCCCCAGTTATCCATCAGCACTTTAACATCCTCTCTGATGCTAAAGCTTCTCGGCCGCCTCGCATGAACTGCATATTTGAGATCTTCCCAGAATTGTGTTATCATTTTAGAATAAAAAAACACATTCATTTGACAATAAATGGCTTCACACAACCACAAACTATACACAGAGCTCTCCAAAATATGGCCAAAACAATAAACTCTCTGATAGTAGTAATAATACACATAGTAATAATGTGTTTTTTTGTGGCCTTTTGGACCCTACTCATTAAAACCAGCAGACTGTTTTGAGAACTGTGATTAGTGCGTGTCGTTTGGGGGTATGCCATGTCTGGAAATACACAGACAGTAGGAAACACACAGCTGGATGGCAAATGCTATTGCACTGACGGCGGCTCCATGTACAGTACCAGGATCAGAGCGCTGTGTTCTACTTCACAGGTGCTGCTGATAAACCAGGTATGAGCAACCGGTGAGTCACGGAGCGGAGTGTGTCTGTACACGATGTGACATACGCACGAGAAGGATTGGCCGCAAACCCGCAAAAAAAAGAAAAAAAAAGCCTAAAAAATCGTGTTGAATACGACAGATTCACCGATTGTGCATTTATGTTATCTTATCTGTGGGTTTTACTATGATGAGAAGAGAAGACGGTTGCCATGAAATTCGAAAACAACATAATTTTTAGTTTTGATAGAAAAATGTTGCACGGGAGAGGCAAAAACTCATGGATATCCAGGCAGCGATAACACACACGCACATAAAACTAACAGATAGACAATCTTTAAGAATAAGAGAATACAAAAAGTGTATCCCAAAGTACACAGAATGCTTTAAATTTCAACCCTGTTCTGTGAAGAAGAGTTTGCACAATGGCTTAAAAAGTTATTTGCAAAACTACATTCATATGCATTCAACAGGAACATAACAAAACTAATGAGAAAATATCATTATAGCTCCATGGTGTGGAATGGTGCAAACTATTATTAAAAATATGCACCAAATTAAAAGGCACAGCAGTTGAAATAGAAAACAAAATGGATTCCAGGCTTTGAGTAATCAGGTCACACTGAAACCACTCCATGCAACCAATATTTCTCTGTGGTCTGTGTATTTGAAGTAAAAGTTGCATATGTTGAAGCATAAATACAGAGGTGGGTAGTATAGTATATGCAGCAAAACAATAAAATATAAAGAAACACGACCTCACAAGCTGCACAAGTGTAATATTAAGTTACAGGAGTATATCCGGTCTTACCAGAGTGGCTTTGTGTGTCCTGTTTGAGCGATTAGATCCCTCAGTCTTAAGACAACAGCTTATGTCGATGTCCTGTCAGCTTGTGTCTCGTCTCAGGTATTCTCATAATAACATTGAGAACGTCCCGCCCCTTTCTGCTGTGACATCACCAGCCTCCTCCAAAAACACACCAATGTGCAAGGCCAGGATCTTGCACAACTTTGGTGCGAGACCAAGGAACACAGGCACAGGCTCCATTGTTTAAATGCAGCCACTTTGGAATCACCGCCTGTGCTGTCATCCACTGTGCTCGTACTTGTCGGACATTGTTATGAGAATGTGGCATTTCAAATATGCACAAATGACTTTATTTTGTGTATGTTTTTTCTATTGTGCTCCATGTATGCCTGCTGTCCTTGTACTGAACGTTGCCACAGTGGAATTTCCCCACAATGCAACGTATAAAAATGTTCTTACCATGTGGGGCAATTTTCAATAGAAACTTTCTAACCCTACACTTTCTAGGTTTTTTGGTTTTTCTAACCCATCAAATAAGGTGTGAACAGGTACAACATCTCGTCTTACATAAACACATGTGGATATTTTTAATATATATATAAATTTGGCAAATATTTTTTCAGTTTTGCTTTTTTTTTCTTTTTTTTTTTTTTACAACAATTACAGATACCTTTTTTAATTGTATTGAATTAATATTACAAAAAGTCTGAGTGTGTGAACTGTAGATTGTGCCAACAATTTGGAGTCTCCCTAGAGTGACATCATTATCAAATTATTCGATTTGTCTAACTTTTATTCACTGTCCATTTCCTAAAAAATCTACAACAAAAAATCATTAAAACCTTTAACCTAAAGTCTTTATTTTTCCATTTAGTATTATTATTATTATTATTATCATTAGTAGTAGTAGTAGTAGTAGTAGTTTTGTTATTAATCATTCACCTTTTCCAGGCGTTAACTCTCTCTCAGCTTCAGTAAAACTGGTGGAGTGGTTTCATGCTATAAACCAGTTTCTTAATCCTCGTCCTGTGTGAAAGTCTCAGCAGTGATTCCTACACACTGCTCAGGCCTCGGTGCCTGCTTTCTTCTGCCAGGGGCCTCACCTTAGTGTGAGGCGAGCAGGTGATGCAGGCTTTAAACCTCATGACTCATCTCAAATCTGCACTCTGCAAACCTGCGTCCTGCGTGTACCTGCCCCACGGTCTGCTCCAGGAGGGAGGGAGCGCGTTCATTACTGAACCAGGACTTTAGGATTTTACAGAAATAATAATGTTACCATGTGTTTGGAAAGAGACCGTGTTCAAATATGAGTAGTTCACTTGCAAAAACCGATACGTGACATTAGAATAAATATTTGAAAGGCTTAGAATTAGCTCTTTGCCAAGTAGTTTTCTGAAAGAAGCCAGGTCTATTTTAGTGCAGAACCAATAAAGTTGCCCTCCTTCTTGAGCAAATTCATTCAAAATTACTGCCAGTAACAAAACATTTTAAAGATTGTGCTGTTTGACAATTTTTCCAAACGGTGATAACGCATAAGTTTACAAATTGAGTTTTGGTTTTGGACTGAAGACAAATATCTCATCATAAAGCAGAATGAGCACTTCAGAATAGAAAAACAGCAGAACATCTATCCAAAAGGGCTGTGTGGTATATGTGATAGTGTGTCCTCAGGGTATGATGCTAATGCTAATGATGCTAATGCTAATGGTGCTAATGCTATCACTGATTCATATATGCGGACTGTAATCTATTCTTATCGAGAAAAAACATGACAACAATGCTTCATTCAGGCAAAAGGAGGCCTAAGTATTGAAGGCATAGAACTTGTTAGGTTCACTTGTGAGTGTTTTTTTTTCCGCTGGTATCATGAAATAACATGAAATAACATGATAAACTGGTATCATGAAATAACATGATCATGTTATTTCATGATACCAGTTTATCATGTTATTTCATGATACCAATTTATCATGAAATAACATGATACTGTAGATACAGAAGAAGAAGAAGCTGTCAGCTTCTTCTGATAAATTGGTATCATGAAATAACATGATAAATTGGTATCATGAAATAACATGATAGTTGTGTTTCATGAAATAACATGATAGTTGTGTTTCATGAAATAACATGATATTTATCATGTTATTTCATGAAAGTATCATGAAATAACATGATACCAGCGGGAAAAAAACACACTCACAAGTGAACCTAACAAGCTTCCGTAGCATAGGACAAAAAACAGAAAAAAATATTTTAAAAAACAGAAAATGTCTAACAATAACATAAGCTAAATGAGAATCCTATTTCCTCAGGTTTTTGTTGGTCTTGTATGTGATTTTTCTCATTTTTGTGACTGATTTTAGGTTTTCATTATCTGTAAGCCATAAGTATCAACATTTCACAAAATAAAAGCTTTAAATATTTTACTGGATCTACTGTATAACAAAAGAGTTTAGTTTCTACTTTTTCTTTTTCAGAATATTTCTAATGAACTGTTTACTTTTTGACTTACCGACAGTTAAGCTCATAACTAATAATCTTACAAAATAACTTAAAACGATTTACCTTCCGTGGTTTGAGCTTGTCCTGCTGGTCGTACTGTCCGATGCCTTTATAGCTGATCCCCAGCCACCACGGGATCCCCTGTTTGTCCTGTGACATCACACCATGTTGTTAAAATGAGTGAAAGGCCCAACAACTATAATTTATCATGAATCACCCTCGTAAACCTACCTTCACCTCATAGTAGTGCACTCCGTATGTAGGCAGAGATTCAACTAATGTCAGATACCTGGAACCCCGACAATCTCTCATGAGACAATGCAAATGATGTGTTTGTAATAGTAAAATGTCAAATGTATATATATATCATACGTACTGTACTATAGCCTGCCCTCTGGAGACTCCCTTCAGCTGTTTATGGTGCTCAATAACTCGGTCTTCACTGAAAAAGTCAAATTGCATACGTGACATTATGGACTGGAATAGGAGTAGAAAGTAGTTTATGAAAGAGGCAGGATAAGTCACCAGTATGCGAGGGACGGGTGCTCCTTCAGGACTTTGGTCGGCAGAGTGGGCAGTTTTTTCAAGTCGCTCCTTGTGTTTTCATTGCTGGTGGGAATTAAAAGTATTGCAATGTACATTTTTTTAGATAATTACCAAGCATATGATTCATTTAATGTGTTAATGTAGTTTCAAAGATGAATTTTAAACTAGCTACTATGTTATTTTAATGAAAAACATGTCTGATTTAAACATGTTTGATCCAGGGATATAAGGCTTATGTACTGTTTGTACATTGTCCCTTCCAGTATTTAAAATATTACATTCCTTAGTTTACAAGACCTTTTGTATATGTTGCCTACTGTGTATGTTTATGAAAAATATGACAAAATATGAGGTAATAATAGCTTGAATCGAATGGTTTTAATTCTAGTTTGTGTTCATTCTGACTGACTTAAAACAAGATTTGCCAATGAGACAAAGCCACTTATTTCAAGAATGGTTGCTTTATTTTCTCATTCCATTTTAGATATTTCTTGTATCTTTTTAAAACAAGATTAATTTGCTTGTCCCATTGGCAAAGCTTGTTTTAAGGCAGTCAAAATGCGGTCAAATAAAAGTAAATATAGATTTTCAGGAAAGAAAATCCTCAGAGGGAACGCCTATTTTAAAACGTGACAATAGGAGGACCAATAGTTTGGATGATCCCCTCGGAAGAAAAGCAAATTCTCCCATAGTATAGTGTATGTATGGATTCTGGTCGGTCATGTTGATAAAGAGCTACAAGCCCTTTGTGATTTTGTCTGATTGCATTAACATAATATTTTGTTGAAATTGAAAATTCTGAAAAAACTGGACCAAGACTTTTAATTATACAAGCAAAGTTCAAGTGTGACGACTAATTATAGAACAAGCTGAAATAGAAGTGCATCCTCGTCATTAACTGTTGGGGGTCAGCAGCTACAGAATGCTTTGGGACTCCCATTTTATTTTTTATTTTATTTTTTTATAATAATGATACATTTTATATGGCGCTTTTTTGGACACTCAAAGATGCTTCACATGTCATTATTCATTCGTTCCATACACAGTGGTGATAAACCACCAACGTAGCCACAGCTGCCCTGGGGCACACTGACATAAGCGAGGCATCTAGTATGTGCCATCGGCCCCTCCGACCCCCACCAACCATGTCATACATCTGCTACTGGCAACACAACTGTCATAACATGTTTCAGTGTTGACTTTCTGTTCATTTATCTGGTTGGCGTTCGATACATATTTGTGCTCTTGTTGTGAGTTTTCCTTCCTGTCTGTCCTGTTGATTGTTTGCCCCGCCCTCTGTGTGTTACACCCGACTCTCGCTCTGTGTATATTGCCCTGTAGTATAATTATCCTCTTGTTGTCGGTCCATTGTTGTTATTTTGTCATGTCTTAATTTCCTGTGCCATTTATTAAATTGTACTGTTTTTGTAGTTCTGGGTTTGGGTGCTTCCTTGTTTATCCATGTGTGTGTGTGTGTGTATTTCTCTCTATTACAGTGACTATTGCAACACACATTAGTCAACTAAACAAACAGGGAGTGGTAAAATGCGTAACAAGGAGACACAAGGTCATAGGGTTGAACCAGCAACATTCAAGTTTTATATTTGTAACTACTCCAACACCTATCATGCATCACTGATACCAGCCATTAGAATGCTCATAATCAACGGCTCCTTTTCCTAACTCGACAATCTACATAAAGTGAAGTGCATTGTGGGAGCAGTGAGAAGTCATTAGCGCTCAGATGTAAGCTGCTCCTTGGAAAGCCTCGCATAACAAACACTGCTATTGATTTCTCTGTCAGGGCTTCACACACACACACACACACACACACACACACACACCCACGCACACACACACACCCACGCACACACACACGTGCGCTAAAAGCTTACAATGAACTTGTCCAATTGCTGTTTACCACTTTGTTTATGATGCGCTGATGGTTTTCAGATAGTGCCCTTGACCCTCTTGAGGTCTAGTATGTCATGAATATTTATAGTATAGTGAGTAAACTATACATTTATTTTGAAAAAGTAGATATCTCCATTTTGATAATGTGTCAAAAGTTGTATTCCTCTTGCTACAGACTTTTCAGAAAACTACTTGATAAAAGGCAAATTGTGAAGATTTTGAATATTGTTTGCAAAATGATCTATTAAAATGCTTTGTCAATGGTCCATAACTTCTCATTAAAACGGCTCAAAACACATTTTTATTCGCACCAATAAAGTGTAATTATGTGACAACATGCCAAAACGCTGAAAATGTTTCCCTGGTAACTAACTCTTAGTTCACACTGTAGCTATATTCTCTGTAATTGCTGGGCCAATCCACAAAGTTCCACGTCTCCTTTGGCAGGACGTATCAACTATGGTCTAATTATTTTCTCATAAAGGTGTTGAGAAGGTGAGCAGCAGAAACACCAGATCTGATGCCTCAAGTAATATAATCCCACTAAGAAAAAGTGGCACAACTCGGTTATTGGACAGTCAGGCCTGTAACCATGTGTGCACGTGTAGAGTGTGTGTGTAGTGTGTTCTATATGTTAATTACATGGGTAACTTTTCAACATTTATGAATATTCTAATGATTAATGTCTTTGGTGTTTCTTGCTGACATTTCACACCTTGCCTCTTTACACTGCAAAAAGTGATGAAAAATAAGTAACAAGAAAAATGTATCTTCATTTGAGCACATGTGGACTGCCTTAAAACAAGATTTGCCAATGGGACAACAAAGAATACAAGAAAGGTCTCCCTTGGAATGAGAAAACAAGACAACAGTTCTTGAAATAAGACGGAATGGCTTTGTCCCATCTTGTTTTAAGACAGTCACAATGTACAAATTAAGACACATCATTTATTTTTAAAAAAATCACGTTCACAGTTGCACAATGTGTACTTCAAATATACAAATAAAATAAAAAATGAATGCAATAAAAACAAGAAGCGGTGACAATATTTGAAAACATGTGCACAATGTAAAAATCATTTAATCATTAAAACTTTTGGACATTTTCTTTTGAGAAATTTTCTTTCAAGAATTCTACAACTAGAACTATTGTCTATTGTCCTGTATAGTGCAAATGTGTATGATATTAATAGAACGGTGTGTTTATAAAGAAGCAGCCTGGATCAAGCAGTATTTGTGGAGTTGTTTTGAACATTTGAACAGTCTTACCTGATGTAGTCCCCTTTGGCTTCCTGGTAAACAAATGCTTCTGGTTAGTTTAGAAATAGACTAAAATGCAAATGCCGTGTTTACTCAAGTATAACAGGCCATGGCTTATCACCTGCAGCGCATTGGCAGCCAGCTTGAAGACATTCTCACTCTCCACTTCAATAAGTCCCTGCGAATCAGAACACACAAAACAATAACATCATTATGAAAATATATTTAAAATCCATTAATGTACAGGCCGAGTCGCTCTAACCCCGCAGCAACATTTACTTCTTTCAAACAAGATCATTATCTACGTGTGTCATTTTTAGCATTCCATCTGGAGGCCTGAGCAGTAACTGTGGCCTGAAGCTGTGTCTGCAGCGGAGCGGCTGCAGGTCCACAGACGCTGAATCACACATGAACCATCCACAACACAAACCTCCCCATTGTTTCAGACCAGGGGCCGAGCAACAAAAACATAGGAGCTGGTAAGGGCCAAAAGAATTACTTGTTGCTTGTTTGTGAAAATATTTTGACATGATTTTTATTTGTCATGAAATGTGTTCAACCATTGATTTAACCAAACGGGACCAAATATATAGTTAAATACTGTACATTGATAAGATAAGATGTACTTTATTAATCTCACACAGGAGAAATGTACATGTCACGTTGTATGTACTAATAATGTGTGTTGGGTTCAAATTCTATAATAAATAAAATGCGGCTGTTTATCTGAGAAAATAAACAGTCGATGGTCAGCCATGGTCGTCCATCACCATCAATACTGCAAGTTCATGTTGATAAATGAAAAATCATATTAAGGGACACTAAAACAGTGTTGCGGCCGGACTTGGCCCACGGGCCTGAGTTTGACATGCCAGTTTTAAAACAACTGTCCCAAAATACTCATGTTCCATTGTTTGTTATTAAGGAACTTACAGGACAATGTTTTCTTTGGATTAGGGTTATATTGATATTAATGAAGCTAAGAAACATAGCAGCGACTGATATTGTATATTTAGTTTGCTCTCTGCTGCTCTTCATACACTGTCCTGCATGTGCGCTGCAACATTGAAATTTCCCCACAGTGGGACGAATAATTGCTCCTTTCTCTTATCTTGTCACAAAACTAACATTTCACACTCCATGTTCCAGATACTGATTTGGATTGCACAATGATCTGAATGTGCTCTTTTGTGAGCTGAAATGAAACGAAAAATACTGATTATAACATTTTCACTTCTTATGGTTCTTCAGGTAAGGTTCAAAATAATCCCAAATAATTGCTCAGATGTTATATTGTTTATTTCAATAAATTAGATAAAAAGTTGTATTTTTATTATTAATTAAAAAAATAACAAAATAAACAACAACATTTGACATTTCCGGAGTATTCTTTTCATTGTTATTTTGAACTTTATCTGAAGAACTTGGACAAAAAGACATCTAATTTCTTGAAAAAAACATGTTTCTTGTTGTGTGATGTCAGTCTGCTTTATTTTCTTTTTTAAAAATATTTTATGTAAAAATAACTATACACCAATAGATTATTAGACAGGTTAAAGAACAGTAGGAATAAGGAGCACACAGCACAAGATTAATGAATAATAACTCTATACTGAAATTAGATTAAATAAAATCTCTAACTCTAGCATTAAAATAAAAATCTCTACCTAATTGCATAGTAACAAATAAAGAATGATTATTAATATCATTAGTATTAATATCATATGAAATGGTTCAATGTCATTTTTCATGATACTGTTTAACATAGCAGTAAAACTATATCACTAAAAGTCCATGCATCATTACGCAGATTATAGATTATACTGTAGATTATTTGTCAATTGTACATGTTGCTATTTTTTAACTGAAAACACTCACATGGTACACAGCTGACTTGGCGTTGAGATAGAACAGCTCCACAGTTATGATGTCCTTCAGTTGGATTATGCTCTCCACATAAAACCTGGACAAAAAAATTGAATGAAATCTGAAATTATTTGCGTTACGTTGCCAGGTCTGAAGTTCCCCAGCAACAGGCCGTCTATTCACCAGCCCAAGGTCGAACACGTCACCCAAGTGGAATTCCTGTTTCAATAAAGACGTGGAGTTTCTTTCATTTGTCACTCGAGACTTTGCAAATTCACTTTAATGAAACATGTGCTTAAAGCTGAGGTACGTAACTTTGTATAATTCATTGATAATGTATTGTCTCAACAGAAGAGGCTTGTGAATGTAAAAAGGCTGTGAACAAATCAGACCCCATCGTTATGTGTTATATGGGCGACACGGTGACGCAGTGGTTTTTAATTGTGCCTGCATAGGTTTCCTCCGGGTGCTACGGTTTCCACTACCACTAAAAATATGTACAATTGGTCTGGCATGCGCCTCCTGTACTGGCGACCCCGCTCCCATCTCTGTGTGGAGTGAGAGATAAATGCCCAAAAATGACAATTGTAAACCGCTTTGTGGCTCTGGTCTGTGAAAAGTATAAGTATACATATAAATAAAGATTACTTAGTTAATTATGTCCTCATCTAATCAGAAAAACATGTTATCTTTTGCAGAGCCCTGTCAGTCACTATTTGACGCTTCGGCTGAGAGATGATCGGCTATTCTTCACTTTTCCACTGGTCTAAAGATGACAGAGGCCGAGATAACATACACAGGAAAACGAATTAAAGAACCAAACTGTTTTGAGAGCGAAGAACTAGTTAGATGAGATTCATTACTTTGATTATGGGTTTAAATTAGTTTATTTTTTTGTAAGAAAGTTATGTACCACAGCGTAAATATTTTTTCATACTCTCCTCTATCCTTTGCTCTTTTAATTTTGAGATTAGATACAGTATGTGCCACTGTTTCACTAGTGCCACATTAGTCATATAAACTACATTGGCATTTATATGGGAAAAAAAAGAATAGCCAATTTCCTCCAACGTATTTTGGGTTCTATATAAAAAATTTTTTATAGATAAACATTGAAAATAACTTGACCTTATAGCATACAGTTACACTTTTTCTGCTTTTGGCGACTCCAGGACTGAAGCCAGTAGAATCAAAACAATACTTGTATATAAAGGATTCATTTCTATATGTGGGCTTTCTTTGAAGTCAACTCAAAATCGCAATTTAAATAGTTTAAATTAATAAAAAAGACTGTAATTATTTAGCTGAGGCCATTTCAAATACACACAATCAATTATAGTGTTTATTATTAAATCTGCTGAGCCTGTAGTTGATACAGATCATTCTTATGAACACTGATCACGTACTCCAGGTGAATGCCAGATACATCAGATCTCTGAAGCTAAGCAGGGTAGGGCCTAGTTTCACCTGTGATGGGAGACACCAGGTGCTACAGTGGGGCGGCTGCGACTAAAGTGCTGAACTGTTGTTATGTCCTCGTGCAAGACACCACCCACATTGCCAAGAATGAGTCAGGTGTATGCGTGAATAGTTGGTGGGGCCAATGGCACATACTGTTTGCCTCGCTACTGTCAGTGTGGCCCAGGGCAGCTGTGGCTACAGTAGTATCTTATCACCACTGTGTATGGAGAGACTGTGAAGCATCTGTGAAGCATCTTTGAGTGTCCAGAAAGTGCATTGTCATTAATATTATTACAACCTGCCCTATAATATTTCTATTTAGTGTATATGTATATGTACTGTATATATAATAATCTTATCTTGACATAAGTCTTCATACATATTTTTGACTATTTTATTATTTGTTATTGCACCATATGCCAAATCAAATTTTCTGTGTGTCTGAAAAGTTACATGGAAATTATTTAGATTATTTATATATATTTATATATATGTATAGCTTGGCCCTATGGTGCATGTATAAAAGAAGTCATTGTAATTCATGTGGCTTTACGTTCCCAGTCTGGTGTCAGAGTGTACCCATGGCGGGTCAATGTCAATAATGACTGCTCCTCCTGCTGGACGCCGTGTGCTCTGCAAGACCAAACAGCTGTTTACCTGACAAGGAAACTCAGGGCAATGGGAACCGTCTTCTTTGCAAAGTCATGTTCAAGAACTCTACGGTCCATCTGCAGCCATTTGCGCTGACCACTGTGAGAAGGAAGGAGATTTTAAAGTATCAGGACGGTTTTCATTTCCAGACAAATGCAACAACTCACTGATCGTCAGAATATGCCAGACCAAAGTACTCCTTCTCTTTGAGGTTGAAATGAGAGGACACCAAGTCGAGGAGTTCGTACGACAGAAGCTTTGGCTGCAAAAGAGAAGAACATTTGTGCTCATGAATTTAAGTGTGATTATTATAAAATATTTAACAAACAAAAGTCACACAGTTCCGAACACCTGGAAGCATCAGAGCCACAGTCATCACCGCCCGTTCAATCACACATTACATTCAGAACTATTGTACGTGGTTTTAGTGGTAAGGTAAACCGTAGCATCCGCAGGACCCCCCTCGCAGACATGGGAATAACATGCAAACTCCACACAGAAAGGCCCCGTCTGGACTATAGGTAGAGTCAAACCTAGGACCTTTATTTATTTATTTTTCTATGTTTTCATCTATTCATGTGATTGTTTGTTTGTTTGTTGATTCATTACATACTGATGTGTTGCATACAGTAGGAAGTGTGTACTCCTATAGGGGCAGCTCCATGGGGGTTTGGGTGTAAAACGTGTTGATTACATTTAACACTTTTTTTGAAAATCAATCATTAAAATAATGTGCAAGTGGTATCTGGAAACTTTAGTCGACAAGAACCTTAGGCAGACAGATGCTCCATGCATTACAGACAGATAAATGTATATACTATTTGAAAATATAATATCTTTTGTGTGTTGTTCTATAGAAACTGTAGATCGAGATGTGAGTGGTCGGTGTCTTTTGAGAAAGAAAATGAGACTCTTTGCTAACACACTAATTTAACTTTTTTAGCTTCTTCCTGTCATATTGTAAAGCGTCTTCTAGTGTACAAAAAACCCCATATAAGTACAATGTAATATTATTATTGTTTCATTATTCCACATTTTTTCTCTAGTTCTTCAGAAAAATTTCAATCTCAATAAAAAACCTAAAATAAAAATAAATACTAATACTTTCTCAATTAAGTATCTTGTTTCTTGAGTTAGGACTGTGCACTGTTGTTTCTTCCACAGCACAACATTAAACTTTTAACCATCTCCAAGGATTCAATGTCAATGTCAAGTTTATTTCTATAGCACATTTACTACAACAACCGCTGCCCAAAGCGCTGCACGGTATAATACATCAAATACAAAAAAAAATTCAATTCAATGTATTATACGTCATCACAGTAGTCGTCTTTGCCAACAACAGTTTGAACACAGGAAATGCAAGGAAACAAGACATCATATGAAATGCTTCCATGTCATGTTTTCCACTCCAGGCAAAGTTACATACTCTAGCTTTAAAACTCTATGCATGTGTCTGGTTTCTATTTGTATTTTACCTGAACCAGCAGCTCCAGCTTCCGGTCATCCAGCAGCTGCACTTGGCACAGCCTGCCTTCAGTCATCTGCACAGAAACAAAGAGAAAAGTTCAAAAACGGATAATCTTCACATGTAATCTACCATAATAGAGCCCAATGGAAGGGGTGGCAGCACGGCGGGCATAAGCCACGTTTGGCTTTGTAGTTTCACTTCAAAAGGGCAGCGTTTGAGGCAGACTCCCATAAGTGTACTTTGTCGGAGGCCTGGGTGGTAAATACATCCTCCAACATGAAAAAAGCACTCAGGCTGGTAATGACAAGTCTCCTATTGTCACAAGGATTTGTTGACGTAGTTGCCAAAATCCGGATTAGAATTTCTCCCTGCGTTTAACTCTGCAACTCCCAGGACTTTTTCTTCCTATTGTTCAATATAATCAATTCTTCATTAAAGCTGGGGTACTTAACTGTCAAACTACAAAACATAATTTCATCATTAGTATTCACACGCATGTATTTTGGCCTCCGTGACATGTTTAGATAAGCTTCTTCAGCAAATTGAATAGTGAGAAAGAGAGCCAATCAGCTCTCAGCCTAAAGCAGGGGAAACATGATAATGATATAGATATAGAGATAAATATTGCATACTGTGGTCCGATTATAAAACTCTTTCTGTGGGAACAAACAATTATTTATATTTACAAACAAAAGTCAGATCACCCAGCTTTGTTGTGTTATAACTGTAAATGTGCTAGTATTAGACATGATACATGCAATAAACTGGATACTTTCTATATAATTTTAGTGACTTAATTAACAGTTCTTAGTTAAATAAAAGTACATAATTTAACAATGGGCTAATAGATATTTTCAAAAAAGTGCAAATACATGCTAAGCACATCATGCTAAACTCGATTATACATAATTCTAAGAAATAGGTGCGCAATAATGGTAGACCAAACACACCGCAATCTCCAATTTTTTATTTTTGGAAGGCTAATACGAGACCAAATTATTTCTCAAATCCGTTCAACATATTCGCTAAAGCCACCACAGTAATAGTAGTTTACGGTTGCCACACCGCATGCACACAAAAATATAACAGCATTGCATTCACTTATGTAACATCTTTTGACGACTGTAGAGCGTCTAAACTTCAACTTAACAAAAAAAAAATATCAGAACAAAGCCATCTCCGTACACTCATCTTTAACACTTCAGACTTGTACAAAATGACAGATTTAGGTCACAACAAAACCTCTGCACATACAAAGTTGAAAAAGCCACACGTTATTTGACAGAATGAGGCTCTCTTTCTCTCTTTCTCTCTCTAGCACTGAGTCCGGCCCCATAGCAGCTGTACCAGAGCATCCCCCAGGACAGAGCAGCCAGACATGCACCCTCCTCCTGGACCGGACCACATAATACTCCTTCAAAAAGACAAAACAAATGTCCCTTATCCTGTTCTTCAGTCCAAAACAAAGCGGTGTAGCATTAACCACACTGGGATCAATACAGGCTGTTCTGGTATTGACCGGTGCTGTGGCTGTCGACAAAAAAACTCAACAGCTGACTTAATGAGGGCCGGACTATAATGGGCTGAGGTGGTTCTGTGGCCCGACAATGCAACAGTCAGAGATAATGATGGTCAGATTCCTGTGTGTATGAATTATGTGTCAAGGTTACTTTATTTGTAATGTGTTTAACCACAGAAAGAAAACAAAGTCTCTTGGATAAAGTGTGGCTTGTGTGAGAGGTGTGACAAAACGTTATTTCAAGGACATTTAAACTTAAGAATGACCAAGTTATCTGACTCAAACAATACTCATTAGGCTTGAATGACTGAAATATGAAGTGATTTCAGACAATCTTGATTTATTATGTGGGTTCATTTTGCTCGACGAATAATATTTTTTGGCCACTTGAGAACCGTTTGAATAAATGACTGAATTACAAAATGTTGACTAGTTTGCCAAGTTATTTCAGTTTTGAAAATGTTCAAACTATTTGTTTCATGTTTATATGTATTTGTTCATACTGTGGTTGAATGCATCTACACTGAACTGAAATGAATCAATAAGAACATAGTTTAAAATGTGATCAAGATTTGGGTCGGGATAATAACCAGCCACAATCAGCCTCAATCTTTTACTGGGTTAGTGTAATAAGCAGCACTCTTCACAGACTGGAGTTCAGATTAAAGATTCTTTTGATCGAAAGACTGTGTCTATGAAAATAACTGACCAGGATAGGGCTGAGCGATCAGGGAAAAACAAAAATAAAATGTAGTCTCTAGTTCAGCCTCTAGGTTGGGATTTGGAGGGCGCTTTTCTTAGAGTTTTTATCCAATCATTATTCAGCCATCATGTGTTTCCAGGATCCAAAATTGGCCTTTCACAATGTCCGGTTGTACTAGAGCATACTGTGTAGAGCCATGGCATCATAGTAAGATGAGATAAGATAAGATAAACCTTTTTTCGTCCCTCAGAGGGAACATTTCAATAATTATGGTTTAAAGGTGGACTACGTCGGGTGAGGCATCACTGCAGTCCCAGGTCTGAAACGCACACACTGCCACTGATGTTATGTCTGTTAACTGGCATTTTTACTAGGCCTTTACTTTGAATATGCTAAATTCAGTCATTCAATGTATCCATTCTAAAAGATAGCTGTTTTTTAATATATTTTTATTCATGCTTATATGTGTACATTCCTCCAATGTTTAAAGGAATTAGCACAGGAGTTTCCTGTACCACTTCTGACGCTTCTTCTCCAACTTCAGCTCCGCGGCCAACCACCTCTCCTCCAGCAGGGAGCGCTCTTCTTCTGTCTCCTTTAGTTTTTGAGTGAATGCACTGGACTTAGCACCTAACAGAGAGCAGTCCTCTTCTGTTTTTATCAGCTTTTGCTCCAATGTAGTGGACTTAGCATCCAGCAGGGAGCGCTCTTCTTCCATTTCTTTTAGTTTTTGAGTCAATGCACCGGACTTAGCCTCGAGCAGGGAGCGCCCCTCTTCAGTTTTCATCAGTTTTTGAGTTAAAGTACTGGACTTCACCTCCAACAGGGAGCGCTCTTCTTCAGTTTCCTTTAGTTTTTGGGACAGAGCACTAACCTTTACCTCCAGCAGAGAACACTCTTGATGTAGTGTGCTCTGTCCCTCTTTGAGATCCTCACAGTTTCTCAAAATGGCGGCCTTCTCCAGCTTCTCTTGCTCCAGCTCCTCCTTCAGCTCGTTCAGTGACTCGTTAAAGAATCGATTGGCCTCTTCTTCTGTTCGGAGTCGGGCCTGAACCTCCTGAACCTGCAGCTTCAGATTGATCTTCCTGTCCCTGGACTTTTGGATCACGTCTTTCATCACGTCCATCTCCATTTCTTTATCCTGGATTTCCTGACGCATAAGGATCCTCTCTTCAGTCTCTTTTTGCAGTTGCCTGTCCAGTTTGCCGCATCTCTTTGAAAGCTTCTCCAGTTCTTTTTTGAGATTTACCAAAGAAGCTTCCAGCTGACCGTTCGTCTCAAGCAGCAGTTTTCTTTCTGTCTCTGTCTTTAGAAGTTGGGCCTTAACTTCCTCTGTTTGTTGGCAGAGAAATTGTTTTTCAAGATGCCATTTTTGGTGTTGCCGCAGCGAGTTTTCTTTCATTGTATCAGTAATGTCTTTGAGTTCCGCGACCTGGCTTTTCAAACTCTCTATGTCCTCGTTCCTTGACTGAATCTGTGCTTTCAGTTCCCCAGATTCATTGAGCAGTGATCTATTCTCTTCTCTCTCTTGGCTCAGTTCAGCCTCCACGTCCTGCTTTGCTTTGGCTTTTTGGTTGAGTTGTATCTCATGTGCACAGATGATCCGCTTTGTTTCGTTGAGCAAGTTCAACTTCACGTCCTCGAGCTCTTTCTTAAGCTTTTGGACGCTCATTTCATGCGCAACTTGGAGAGCATGAATTGTGTCGTCTTTACGCTCAAGCGCTCTAATCCTCTGTTCCACCTCTTCCTGCAGATTGGCCTCTCTAGTTTTGGCCTGTGAAGCTTTGGCCGCCATGTCCAGCTTCAGCTTCACGAGGGCCATGCCCATCTCGTCCTCTGACTTTCTCCTCAGCCGACGTTCATTGACCACTTGTAGTCTGAGTCGGTTAATTTCACCCATGGACTTTTCAGTAGTGTCCAACTGCTGAAAGCTCCCTGTCTCCAGCTCTTCAGCAGTTAAAAAGCCTCTGACCAGTTTCACAGCTGGTTCAGAGAGTCCTTTCTCCTCTTCTGCTGGTTCAGAGGGATGGACCTCTTCAGGCTTTTCACCCAGCACTTCCATGAGGTTGAATTCCTCAGTGTAAAATGCTTCGTTGTCCTCCGGTGTGTATTCGTACCAGTTTTTCATCATGTTGATCAACTGCTCTGTATTGCTGCTTGTATTTCAAGGCTCAAATGTGGTTGTCAGATTACTCCCTCTGGTCCACACCAGTGTTTTTAAAGTTCTAGAACCTCTTCATGTCAAAGCAGCGTTACCATGGAAATGGAATTCCAAATGATAGAGAATAGAATCTCTCTGGATGATAAATGTTGCCATGGATATGGAATGCCAAATAAAATCAGTGTACATGGCGTCAACATACCAACACTTAAGTCTTCTCGTTCAGCACACGCCGTAGAAACGCATAGGAGCATTTGTTTATATTATGGAGCAGGATTAATGTCCTTAAATGTCCTTAAATGTCCTTAAATGTTGCGAATCTTTACTTTTGAATGCGCTGGAAACGGCAGCAAGTCCTAAGTAGCTCTGAAACAGTTGTTTTGTGCTTTACAATTGTTTTTATTCTAGCTTTTTTCTACCCGAAATGTTGCTGCAGTACAGTGTTCATGGTTTTACAATGGTCCAGACCAGAGCTGAGAGGATTCATGATCCAAACCAAGAGGATCAGGAGAAAATCCACTGGATGAATGCTGACTTTTTGAAAAAGAAGCATTCAGCATTTTACTTTGGACTAGAGCAGAGAAAATGGTCCAAACCAAGTGGCTACTCCACCTCTGCTGCTGTGACCCGTCCTGCTCCACCCAGAGGCTACTCCACCCCTGCTGCTGTGACCTGAAATGCTGTTGCTTATTATTACTAGCTTTTTAGCTTTTTAGATTGATACATTTTATTTTTTATTTTTACTGCTACTGGACACCTGATTTTTTTCCTGCGGAGGTCAATAAAGTATCTATATCTAGCCATCTATCTATCGAATCATCACTGTCCTTAGACCTAGGGACTTTCGTGGTTTCAAAGTTTGGCACTTTAGCTATAATGCATTCCAAAGGTTTTTATTGTTTTTAGATTCAGAACATCTTTTCAAAGGGAGTCCTGGACAAGAGGCCGCAAAAGTTACACAGATACATACCATTACAGATTATAAAAACAGTTACACACAATTTCATAAAATTACAGATTATAAAAAAGTTACATGTCAATGAGGATGTCTCAAGTGCTCTCAATCTGGATTAAAAAGCATCCAATGAAATAAATTACATTTCCAGTCCAATTTCCAGCCTTTTTGCATCATGTTCAATATAGAAGGAGCAGAGTATACTACAGTTTCCCAGTTCTGTATGGGCAAAAGGAACAAAGAGCAACAAAAGAGTATTCATGATTCAAGATTCAAGATCCAGTATATCTGTAGTAGACTGATCAATAGTAATTCACAAGAAAAATAGGTCTTGGTCAATACATTTTTGACAAATTAGTCTCAAAACCCTTACCTCCATGTCCATGTTCTCTAGGGCTGTAAATGGCATGTTCTATCATGTGAAATACTTCCTGCACCAGTGTATCTCGAGATGTGAGTTTGAGATAGAGACCAGTTCAGAGCACACCACCTCTCCTCACGCACTAATATGAATTGATTAGATGACCTACTTCCTGACAGTCGCACGCACTCGGTCACTACTTTAAATTACACCGGGTCTATTGTTTTTATAACCGCTCTTCACTTATAGACCTTGAATCGTGAGCTGGGTTACCGCTAGAGCCATCAATATTGTTTTATGCGCTCGTTTTGAACTCCATGCATCCAATAGTTTTAATTAATTTTGAGAACGGCTGCCTGACACCCACGATGAGTGTGATTACATTGATCTCTGTTTAATTAAGTTATGGCAGAGAAGTGGTGGGAGACTGTCATAAGTCTTGCTAATATGTTGGACCTGGAAAGACAAGAATATAGAGAAAGACGATAGATAAGAGATTCAACGCAGATAGCATGTAGTTTGAATGTTTGAAGATGAAATACTAATACTGCTACTACTACCACTATACTGCTACCACTACTGCTACTACTACTGCCACTACTACTACTACTTCTACTGCTAATCTACTACTGCTACTAAATTGCTACTACTACTGCGACTGCAACTGCTACGGCTACTACT